TATGACATCCAAGTTGGGATTAGAAGATTACCCTCTATCATTCAGATGGTTAGAGAAGACAGAGGCAGTGCAGGATATTAAAAACCCAGGAATTTACATGATCAAATTAAACAAAGGAAACAACGAATTTTTCTATTTGGGATTTACTTACAGATCTAAATCTGTGTCAAGAAGCATTTCAATTCAATTAGCCAATACCTTACTAATAGTACAGTATTAATGCAATGGGCCCTAAAGAGAAAGGTCACAATAAGTTGGAACCATCCAGTGTACTTAATATTAGTGTCCATCAGCTTATATCAGAATTGCTGAATAATGTTTACACTAAATATTCAGAAAATATCTGAATATTACCATATTTTTGTGGATTGTCGGCATGTCAGTCTTTCCGGGGACCATGAAACCAGATATTTCCATATGGTAAAAATCAGCATGCTAGTTTATATACATCCTTCCTCGGAGGGCATATGAAAAAACAAGTAAGTTATGTTGTATGGCATCTCATAGACACCGGTTTTCATTCTAAAATTGTGAAACCATCAGCATTACATCAAAAATTACAATTATATATTTAGTTTCTGCAGTTTGTCATCTTTCTAAAATACTCATGAAATGTTTATATATATATTATAATTTGATTAAAAATGAAAAAATAAACATATCAAATTCTTTGTAAATTATTTCAACTTACTCCAATTAACACCTGCTTTGTGTGAAATTTGAGAGGAAGGTGTTCTCTTGCAAAGTCAGGATAGGCCTAGATCATCAGTTCAGTGCATAATAGCTGCTATTACTACTACTGTCAAAAAGCTAATTGTTTTATTACCTTGTAAATGTAAATTCTCTTCCTGGTTATAAGTCAGTCAGTTACAATGTTATTATTTTATAGTACTTAGAAGGATGTTTTCTTTAACATTTATTTAATTAGTTTTGTTATATCTGATTAATTTTATTTTTTAATTATACTTTAACCAGTATGCTGGTAACCCCAGGGTTTATGGTATGCTGGTCTCCTCCAGTTATACAAAAATAGTATTAATGTGCATGACTCACTAAACCTAGACAACAGATGGACTAGAGAACTCAAAACAACAAATTGGGGTGATATGATTAGGCACTGAATTGATAAAATGAGGCAGTAACTTGGTATAAGAAACTTGTTCTAGATTTTAAAAAAAATTGGCATTATTAAATTTTTTGCTTTTAAGTAATTCAGAATGATATTTTGATACATTGCCTGCATATTGGCCATTTTTTAAGATTGATATTATTTGAATACAAAGATTTGATTTGAAATGTTCAATTAATTAAAAATTGATTTTGAATAATGTTCAACCATTAAAATTGTAAAATATTCAAATTTAATGTAAAGAAAAACTATATTTATATTCTTTACATTTATTTTGTGTGAATTGTAAGTTGAAGTTGTCTTGGATCAGCCAAAAAATGTCAGAAAAAAATGAAATAAAAATATAAAAAAATGCCAGAAATCTTATCTTGTAATTCATTAATCTGTATTAGTGTATTAAATAGAAATTTTAAATAACTNGAGAGTAGGTCGGGACACGGTAGAGAGAAGAAGGGTGAAGTGGTGGTCCCCGAAAGTGACAACGTTGAGTTTCAATTTTTCTTGTTTAAAATGTAAGTACCTTTTCTTTGTGTTTTAAATTAAATTGTGGCTTTTCTTTTCTATCTATGTATTTCACACCTCCCTCCTCCTCGCCACTTAGACCAGGGATGGGCAACCTTTTTCTGTGTAAGGGCCGCATTTCAAAACTTTTGAACTAACGCCGGCCACATACAAGATAAAAGAGGGGGGAAAATGTCGGTAAATCACAATTATTTATTCATATATAATTATAAAATAGAATAGGTATACTTAATTTAGCTTCTAGAACTGATGTAAACGTAATGTATCGAAAATATTTGATTAAATATTAGTCACTGCTAGTTTGAAATTAGTTTTGAGGTGAGTCTGTTAGCCGGTTTCTCGTTTTAATTTTTACTAAATTCATTGCAGGAAAAACTATTCACATACATAAGTTGTAGGAAATAACGTTTGAATTTTTGCTGCATACTTGTTAAGCTAGGAAATTGATATATTTATACACATTTTATGCGACTCGGTCTTTGGGATGCCCATCCCTGACTTAGACTATGCCTATGACAATGAGTCGATCGTGATACATTTTTAAGATAAAAAGTAGATCTTATGTACACAAAAGTTGGCCACCCCTGCTATAAACAAAAAATTGTAGGATTACTTACCGAGTGTGCACTGTTCAACTATGCCATTGCTTAAGCTTGTTTTCCTCGTGGAACTTGTCATCGAATGGCGCTTGCATGCTTCCTGATAAATTATTTTTTTTGCGAAAAATTTGCTGAACTTTGGAGACATCATTAATATAAATATTATTTTTATGGACGTTAAATAATAAATGGTTTTTAGTANTTATAAGTTTATTAATTTATATAAAATAAAATTATAAAATTGAAAATGATATTACATTGATTTTATCTGTTAAAGAACGAATCTTGACAGTTGAAGACTGTGATGTAGTTATATAAAACTGCCAACTCTGATTTTAGCTCCTCTGTTTTTAAATCTCCAGCTCTGACTTCTTCACAAAAGTTCAATGTGTGTTAATAATAATAAATTCACTAAAATGATAAATGGTATCTTAGGTCACTTTATCATACCACATGAATTATCGTGCTACTTTTTAGATTTAACTCATATTTAAATATGTTTATGAAGTTTATATATAAGTTAACTTTATATCAGAGTCAAAGTTGGTACATTTTTATTGACTCAAACTCCATGTTTCCAGTTGAAGATAGCTGTTATATTCCAGTAATATATATATGCTTAGATCAGGGGTGGCAAACCTATAGTATATAAGGAGAAATCATCTGGCATGTAACATATCATGTGATTTCAATTTATTGTGTCTTTTTCAATCATGCTTTTGGTTTATCATCTGATAACCCTTTTATTCAATCAACTGTTTTACATTTATTCTATATAAAGCATATTAGTTTAATTTTTTTTAAAATATCATTATTCAAAGTCTAAAACTTTGGCACACATAAACATATTTAAAACTAACTATGCTTAACATATGGTAAACAGGGTATGGTAAACAGGTAACATATGATATGAAATTGGGTCATAGTTATATGTTGTGAAAGATCAGGTGAACAAATATTATAATAATGATTTGTTGTCTTTGTCAACAAAAATAATTTTTTTTATAAAACAATATTTTAACAATTATTAGTTGCATTATATTTAATAAACTAGTGCAAGTAATATGTTAATTGTGTGTGCATTTTTTGAGCTTCTTTTGACCCCTTCTTTTTAATTACATGTACAGTACAGTAGTTTATGAACCCTACTATAATTAAATAACTATGCCTTCCAGTACTTTTCCAGCACAAATATTCTTTTTTGACAAATATTTTTTGCTTTTTTTTTAATAAGCCTTTCTGAGGTGTCAGGAATTTATCATTGAATGTTCTAAATCAGAATGATTCCAGTTTAGAACATTCAGCCAGTGAATTTCTGACATACCTGAGGAAGGCTCATAAAAAAGCCAAAAACATTTATCAAAAAGAATATTTGTGCTGGAAAAGTATTGGAAGGTATAATTATTTTGTTATAGAACTGTATTCCAACTTGAACCCTTCCAACATTGAGGAATGGACTTGAAAAAGTTCTGCAAATATTTTTAAACTGATAGTTTATTTAAATGAACTTACAAGAACAAATTTGTATGCCACTAATATCACTAAAAAAAAGTTTACATAGACCTTGACTCCCTCCCTACCCATATACAACAATATACTTTTTGTGACCCATCTCCACCATAAACTGTACTTATAATTAATTGACAGCCCTAACATATTAAACTGTTCATGAATATCTTATCTAATTGCTTACTAGATAGAAGACTTTTCAAAATAGTTTAGTTTGAATTATAAAATTAACTAGACAATGCAGTATATTTATAATTATATTATCATGAAAACTTAATGAAATTTCTTTGTTTTGTATCAGAGTTATTAGAAAAATAGTATACTGATCATTCAAAAAAAAGCTTTATAATGTATATCTTTCTCATATATTTTATTAATTTATTTTGTTTAATATCCATTTTTATTGTGTTTTGCATTACAACTTAATTTAAACTTTCTAATATATTTGTTTTTATATTTAATGTAATTTTATCATAATTGATTATTTGTTTAATGTTCTAAAATATTTTTTGTGCTTAAATTCTGATAATAGCTATTAACATAACTGAAAATATCAATAGTCTTTAAAAATTCATCAATTTCAATAAAACTGTAACATGAAATTTAATATATTAACATCTCACTATAAACTATTACATTATATTTGGAATTAATTGATTATAAAATAATCAGTTGATGATGGCACATCTTTCTTATGTTTCCAAATTTGAGTAATCATTAACCGGTACTAGCCAGATTACAGTATTACTTCAATCTGTTATAATTTGATGGGATGTGGATATGCTTTGATCTCAAAAAACATATTATTATTTTCTTATTTAACATGCAGTGAATTTTGTGATAAAAAATAAATGCATTTAAAAATGTTTAATATTTAAGTAATTTACAAATTATAACCTTTATTGAATAAATTATAACATATTTTAGAACAATTACTGATAAAAGTTAAGAATATTTTTGAATAAATTTTCTTTGATCCTGAACTATGGCTAAAGAAAAATTGAAATTTCTAAATAATAATTATGCAAGGTGAGTCAGAAGTCAAGATCACTGTTTTAGGCTTGAATTTGTGAAATTAGGGAAGTCAGTTTTTCAGTATTTTCAACCAATTTTGTATTGGTAATGAATTTTAAAATAAATCTCTCCCAAGTTAGGACAAAATGTTTTAATTCAAATGTTTTTGTTATTACAGCTGATTTCACTAATGTAAAAAGTCAGTTTCATATAATATATTCAAAGTGTTTTCCATTAAGAGCCATAAAAAGCTTTAAATGTCTGTTTGAATTAGTGTGATCTTTAAGCTGATTTCAAAGATTCTAAATATGTGTGAATTTTTCACTGATACACAATGTCTTTCAGATGGCATCATAGATAAATTGAGGTGTCAGATTTAGTGACCTGTATGGTCACTCAGTGGATCCTTAACTTAGCCAATGTCATAGGAACTGTCTAACTATGTGTACACAGCTACATCATAATGAGGAGGGCAGCATCTATCTGGAAAAACTTCAATAACTTGGAGCCTTCATCCTGCAGCATGTGCAGATACAATTCTGCTATTAAGTTCTTATCAATGAAAAATTGTCCAATAACCCTATCACCCCAGATTCCAAACTATTACTTTGCTGGAATTCTGGGTCTTTGATAAATCTATCCATTTAGATTTTTATGGTTTCAGTGTCTTTGGTTTGCTCATTCGCTTTCTCATTAACATAAAAGTTTGCCTTGTCACTAAACATGATTTCACTTTCAAGTTGTGAATCATGGTCCAACATTTGTAAGATCCGCTGACAAAATTGAGATGTTTGTCAGGGCCATCTTTATATAGCTTTTGTTGCAGCTGAAGTTTGTATGGGTATCACTCATTTTTGTGCAGAATCCTGATAGCAGTAGTTTAACTAACACCATATTTCATTGATAGTCTTCTGATGCTCTTCTGTCAACTTTTGTTACAGTGACTATCACTCCTATTAATATGTGGGATCACATACAGCACTAGGACAACCACTTCTGAATGCTAACTGTTGCCCTAAATTTTTGGATAATTTTTTCAGTTTGTTCATTAATTGGCTCTCTGTATCATCATAATTGAATATCTCTGACTTCATATGAATCTCTACTGCCTGCCAACAGGATCATAATTTTGTCATGAATTCATAGTGACATTATCAGTTACCTGAAAAGACATGACATTAGTATCTGCTGTCATAACACTGAAAAACTAACTTTTCCAATGCATTTCTTGGGAAATTTAGCCTAAAACGATGCATTTACTTGTATTCAAGAATCTTTGATGGGAAGGGGTCATATCCCCTTCCCATTTGAAGATTCTTGGAGTCACATGTGTCTGACAGATACTGCCATAGTGCCAAGAAGTTTCCTTCCATCCATCTAAGTGTTCTATAAAATTTCCAAAGTGTTGTTTTTTATTCATAAGATATTTGGAGTAGTCCTGATTTTTCACTCATCCTGTAGTTATATTTAAACATAGATGTTGATTTTTCATAGCATGGAAAAGATGCTGTCATATGCTATGTAATATCAATGATCAGCAATTTATTGTAATCTTAAAATTTTTAATTTTGTTTAAGCATATTTTTGAATATTAAAAATATTAAAAATGTTAATATTTTCAGAGAGAATTAGCTGATGCTACTAACAATTTGTCCAGACACTTAAGAATATATGAAGACCAGGTAATGTTTATATACAGTATTATTAAAATTTTATGTAAAAATACAGATGGTCCTCAACTTTTGGACATATTGTTCTTTTGTTCAATATTTCGTTATGCCTATATTGCTTTTCACATACCAAAATTCTCACTTCTTACATTTTCAGTTGACAAGTAAATTTTAGAGTATCATGTAGTGGCACTTTTTGCCAGTTTTGATAAAATAAAAATTATTAGTGAAAATAAAAGTTTTTCTGTTTATTGAAAATGTTGAATCCATAGAACAATGTTTTAAATATTAACATATTTATAGTAAAAAGCAAAAGTTTTCCATCTTGCCAAGAGATTTTATAATTTTTCTTTTTAGCCCTATGGGTATGAAATTCCATTTATTTCTTTTACATGCCACTTTGTTGCTCATTTCACATTACAGTTATTATTATAAGTACTGGCAGTCCCTAACTTTCAAAAGTTAGGAACTGCCTGTACTTACATAAATTATTACCACTTTCACAATAATGTTACTGCTACATGTTCCAGTTTTCTAATAATTTCAAATAATCAGAATTTTACTGTGTATAGAAAATATAACACATCTATTTGTTGAACTGAATATTTATATTTATATTATTGTAATAGTTGAATTTAATGATCTCTTTTTACAAAATAATTATATTTTATGCTTTTTAGTCTTTTCCTTTGGATACAGATCCAGACAGTGTTTTAAGATCTACTTTAAGACAGATTTCCAGTATGTTAGATGAAGTAAGTATCTTTTTAAAAATTTTTTAGAATATTCATTACAATTATTTAATGTTTTATATAATTTTTAATAAAATTTTAGGTAAGTTCTTGGCAGCAAATGTGTGCAACACAAATGGCAGATGGCATGATGNAATTTACATTTGATTTACCCATGTTTAATATTATAATTAAAAAAAAATTAACAATAAGCGATTTACTGTACTGGGTATCGTTTAGGTATCGTAATGTCTCAGATACAACTCATATGCATTCTTTAGAGAACTCCTATATGTTATGTAAATATTTGCCACCAGGGCGGCGCGCGAGTAACTTGCACTCGGACTCTATACAGTATTTTCGGAAGATCCCTAAAATATATCAAAAATTGCTAAATTAATTTTCTTCTACTGTCCCAATTAAGCATTTAAATCATGTATTAATTTATTAGTTTGGTTTTGTTCTTTGAGATTTGGCCCAATAAAGTGGCTGCCCCAATTAACCAGTGGCCCAATTAAGCGGAATCCACTGTATATTAATATAATACATGTTATATGACACTTGTTACTTTGTATAATAATATTCCTCCATAAGAGAATATTAATGTTCATAATTTTAAAATTTATAATATGATACATTATTATATTGATATAGTAACTGGTAAAGGATGGTGTGCATGAATGAATGAGCTTTCATTGTGTAAGTGTTGTCAAGTTAAGAATTTTCATCCTAAATTTAGGTTTTTAAAACATACAAGATAAGAACAAGCAATTATTGTGTAGGATTTTTTTCCTGGGTGTGTTATATTTTAAGTACTCTAGTCTTATGGTAATAACAGTATAAAAAATAGGTTATTTTAATTGTTTTTACCACTTTTTCCTAACATAGTTTTTAAAAAAAATAAGATTATGGTGTCATTTTAAAAAGTTGTATTAGAACATTTACTACTTCAAAAATTGATTGTATTGAATGAAAACACACACAAATATACATGGAATCTTTTACTGTTTGGGTTTATTTGTGTGTTTTTAAAATTATACTGTATTAGTAGCTATCTGAATATTTTGCATTCATTAGCTATAAGCCAAACAATTGCTGTATTGAATTGGACTACTTTACTGCTATTATTAATAATTTCACTAGAATAATTCAATATGGCAATCATTTGGCTTATTATTAAAACATAAGGCTTTGAGATGTTTACAGATAGGCTTACCATAATATTTTTTTCTCAAACCAGGACAATTTTAAGAAAATACTCACAACAGAAAATAAAGCTTATGATTGAAAAGACTATATAAAAACTTGTTAATAAAAAACAAGTTAAAAGCAATTTTTAATAACTCAACTGAACTTATCTTATTATTAAGAAGTTATTAATATTTATCACTAGTGTGAACTTTCTTTAAAAATTCTTTGTCACTTACATCAGTACCTTTAAAACATGACAATATATTTGAGGAAGTTCCTATTGATACTAGGCTTGCCTTATGTTTTGCACATTTCAAATGATTTTTAATGTTTGAATGCTCATGAGTTACTGAAAATTCTGAAAAGCACAGTTCATATTTCACTTTGTCAATACAATGACAGACTTTTTTCAATCATCAGTAAACACGGTTTCTTTTTGGCATTTTGGATATTAAATTAATTTAATGTACAGTACAAAATAATCGCAAATGCCCATTAACAATTTGAACTTAACTAAGATAGGACATTCGCAACAATGACGTGGCCAGTGTAAGTTTCAATGTTGCCAACTCTAATTGAAACAAAATATCTAAAAAATAAAAATATCGGTATCTCAAAGGCTACATGCTATTATAAATACTGTGAAAAAATATCTGAACGAAAAAATAAAGCATCTAAATTCATTAGAACATATGCTATACATTTTTGGGGAAACCATCTAGACAATGTTAAAAGTACTTAGATCTAGGTACAAAATATTTAGATTGGTAACAGTGAGTGTAGCAGAGGAGATTATTTAGTTGCCAAATTGTCATTCTACCCGAGACTGCACTATATTTACTTCTTGTATATTTGGAACTTTTAAAATTTTTACCAAATAACCGGGACAAAATGACAAACTGGCCAGGATGCTGCGATGACATCATAAAACCGGGACAATCCTGGTCAAAATGGGACATCTGGTAAGCCTGTTTATAGACTCCTTAACTAATTTACATTTAAAGTATACCTTATGTATACATTAAAGTATACATTATTTTTGCGTAGCATTACTTTATTTTGCACCAATTAACAGCATTACACAGGTTAACTGTAAAAATAAAATATTATTCCAAATGCCATCTTATTTGTGCACTGTTAACAAATAATAAATCACAAAATTATTAAAAGAAAACCTCAAATAGCTGTAAACTAAATATAAGACATCTTAGAAGAATTTTATTTACATTTTTCATTTGTAATAAGTTGTTTTGCTGAATGAATAATCAAACTTCATTTTAATTTTAAAACAGTTGTAATTCAATTAAAATATGAGTAATTTCTTTAAAGTCTGTGATAAGAAGGTTATTAAAGAAAATATCTTTAAAATACAAAATCTTTACATTAATATATGAAATTTTGTACAGTAATACTCCGAACTTATGCGATAGGTGGGACCGAGCGGTAACCACGTAAGTTGAATTTGCGTAAGTCTGGGTATAATTTCACATATAAATACATACAAATAATGTTTAATTGGGGCCGGAGACTAAAGAAAATAATAATTTAGAAAAAAATGTTTAATAAAATCTTAGATAATACATATGTATAACNTTCATAAAATTTTATAATGTATTTACAAATCATTTAATTATGATGATAATTAAAATTATCATTAAAATTAAAAATATTTTCATGGAATGCAAATTCCAATACATACACCAATGTGATTATGCAAATAAGCTAATGAACTGGGAAGCATTGAGATAACTGAGATGTAACAGAGTAATCTTTAAAACTTGGGATAATTGAAATAAAAATGTAAATAATGTAACTAAATATGACTGTAAATAAATATTATGCTGTCTCATAACTTTTCTGTAACCAGTAATTATTCATGAAAACTTGTGACTTAAAAATAGGCCGTATACAATGAGCAATTCTTTATGGTGACGACATCACAATGATGGGTTGCAATTTTTAATCTATTTAATTTAAAATATATACCCTCTCCATCTTAGTAGAGCCTTGCCCCTGTACATCGTACTTTTGCTGACAACAGTAGGCATGCCAGTCATCTAACTCTATTCAGGGGAAAATTTTAGAATTAAAATAATGTAATTTCTGGTCTATACCAAAAGTTTGTATGTAATTAATCTGGATCTTTTGCTTCTAGCCTTTCCATATCTGGTCTTGACCTTTATTTATTTAACAATATTTTCAAGATTAAGGAAGGACAGACAGTCAGATGAACAACAGTGGGAATTTATAAATCTATAATTTTTTCAAATTGCAGCCCAAAAAATTCATGCCACTCAAAGTTTTTACTTTATCACTTTACTTCATGTCTATTGTTGTTCAAAAATATTATGTGCACAGTGAAATTTCTGTTACACAATAGTGAAAATATTAGATAGAATAATTAATTAATTTACAGAATTAATACATTTTTGAATAATTAGAGTAGGAATTTCCCACTTACTTGCTAGTGATCCCTAATGGATCAATTGATTTATCTGAGGGTTGTTTGAAGGTCAGTGGGCATGTTTATATTTAATTTTTAAATATAGTGTAAATAAATTTGTTTATATATCATTTTTAAATATAGTGTAAATAAATTTGTTTATATTTTATTTTTAAATGTAAAAAATGTGTGACAATAATTGATGTAACTTCTTAGATTTTATTTAAATAGAACATTCACTTTTGAGTTTTAATTTTATATTTTAATAAAGAAAAAATATAAATTAATGTTAGACTTCTTTTATTTTATCCTATTTGTAATTTATTCTTATTTTGCATCAGTATAGAAGAAATTAATGAATTAAATCTAGTTTGGAAGTTTATCAAACAGAAAAAGGTTAAAAATCCCCTGAATTAAAAAGTATTTTTATCATCAGTTTACCTTGCAAATTGTTATATTCAGATCAGGATTCATTTGCAAAATTTACATAATTGGAGAACAAATGTATGATCAAATATTCAAATAATTTGTTTAGAAATTTATTTTATAAATTAAGTAAATGTCTAAGAAAAAGGTATTTCTGGATTTTTAAGTAGATAAGATGTTCTTTCTATTTATTTGTTTTGTGTGTTTCTGTTTACATATTCCCATTTTTATCTATTTACTATATTAACTCTGTCTTAATATTTAATTTTATCATCATATTTTTGTGTTAAGATTGTCTTCTCTTTATTATGCTTGTTATTGTTATGTTGTTGACAATTAGAAAATTTTCAATTTTTTTGTATTATTTTTGTATTTTTATTCTTTATACTTATATATTTTGCTTAATGTGTTCAAAAATATAAATCATAATAAACATTAATTTTCTTTATATTATCAGTTACATTGTAAATTTCTTTACATTTTTTTCCAGTTTTGTAATTCTGTTATTTCTCTCTTCATATTTTTGCCTCTCTTTTTTTAATTTTTTAATGCTTTTGACTAGTTTTATAAGTTATATAATTTAACAATAATAAACATTATCATATACAGTGGATTCTGCTTACTTGGGACACATTGAGACTAATCCATTGTGGTCCAATTAAGCAGGTGCCCCAATTAAATGAACTAATAATAATTTCTAAAAAAAAATATGTGATACATAAATAAATAACTAAGTAAGTAAAAAAATGATAATTGGCTTTATTAAGGCAAAATACAGAAAATGTTTGTACTATAAATTGTGCAGAAAAAATAACACTTACTTTTCATGATAAAGCTTACAAATTTAAATTTTGCAAAAATGCATCAAGTGTAGTCTGTTTTTTACTTCTAAAATTTTGCAGTTCTATAAAATCAGCACAGATATTCAGTGTAGATGTGGGGCTCTCTTCATTACCTTCTTGCATAAAATAATGCTGTAACCTGACTATAAATTTTTTTGCTTCATGATTTGTCACAAGCACTGATGGGTTATCATTCTCATCATCGCTTTCTTTGTCAAATTTTTGACATTTGAATTTGATGACGTCAACAAGTGCATCCTTGAAGTTTTCATTTTCGTCAACATGGTAAATTATCATCTATTGTTGAAAATTCTTCATTGTTGATGATAGGAACTTGCAGTATGCCTTCATTTTCCTCACTGCTCAAAATTTCAGAAACATTCAAAGGTTTTAAACCGCAAGCAGCAAAGCAGTTTTGTATTGTGCTGCTTTTTATAGCTCGCCAACTGTCAGCAACAAACTGTGTGGCTTGCAAAATGAAAATTTTTGCACTGATCTCTCTGGCTGTTGATGAACTTGTCAATAGGTTTTCTTCAAGAGATTCCAGTATGTAATTTACCAATTTTCCTTGATACAACATCTTTAAATTTTTCATTACTCCCATGTTCATAGGTTGCACTAAGGATGTTGTATTAGGAGGAAGAAATTCCAGCTGTATATTTTTGAGATTATCTAAATGAGGATGTGCAGCACAATTATCAAGAAGCAACAAAATTTTCCTTTGCTTACGTTGTAACTCTGTTTCAACTCGTAAGCCACTCCAAAAAATTTTACAAGTCATCAATGTGTTACTGTTGGCATGGTACTCTACTGGTAAACTCTCTATTCTTATCCCCTTAAAGCATAGAGACTTAGCACGTTTTCCTACAATTAGTAGTTTTTTTGTTTGTCGGTACAGTACCTGTCATATTTGCACAGCATAACACAGTAATGCAGTCCATTGCTCTCTTATACCCTGATAGTGCAATGTGCTTATATATAAACACAGGGAGCCATCCTGTGTAGCATGATAATAGAGGCTGGTTTCGTCAGCGTTGTAAATATCATCTGAACAAAAATTCTCTAAAAAAGTAGGGATTTTTCCACTGTTCAGCACTTACGTTATCTGCACTGCCCTTTTGCCATGTGCTTTTTTGTATTTGATATTGTGCCTCACTTTCCATCGAGACAACCAACCATTAGTTGCTTTAAAATCATTGTGGCTTAGCGTTTTAGCAATCTCCTCTGACTTCACCTTCAATACTGGATCACTGATATTTAAGCCTCATCCACTAACCGTAGAAAACCATTGATCTAACACTTCTTCAACTTCTGGATCTTTTTCATCACGCTTTCTTTTGGATGTTCCTGGAATTTCTTTTTGTAATGCCTACTTCTCATGCAGTTGATTTTCTTGCTGTAGGAGATGCACAATGTTAGATTTTGGTACACCAGTTATATCAGCAAGTCTACAATAGCTTGTATTCAATGGCTGGCTTTTAATTTTATCCAACAAAGCAATTTTACTTGAAAGTATAAAATCATTTCTTGACATCTTGGCAAAGATTTAAGAGAGAGAGATCGTCAGCGAGATGGATCCAAACTTGAATTTTTCACTTCTATGTTGGGCTTATATAGTTGTCGACAGCTGATGGCCGACCAATCAGCAGCTTTGCTGGTTATAGCTTTATTCTAGGTCTGCCATATTGTGTGATGTTTTTTGCCAATTGTCTCTTCCTTGAGATGCATGTGCCACCAATTCAAATTTAACCAATCGTGTTCCTCGATGATCTCTCCTCGGCAGTGTTCGTTATCAATTCAAATTGACCAATCATGTTCATTACGCGATATCATCAGCATTGTATATCACTGTATAGCATTGTATAAACAACATTGTATATCACTGCTTTTATCAACAATGATCCAATCCGAAGCAGAGTCAGTAGCTTGAATTTAGGTACGCCTCAGACAAGATCGTAGTGTGATATGTCCTGCTATGCTGACTCCCCTCCAGGTAGACTGAATTGCTTGAGCAAAAGACACAATTGCTTTGTCTCTGCTAACCATTAGGCCTAAACAACATTAGTGTATGTACTGCTGATATAGAGTCCGAGTGCAAGTTACTCGCGCGCCGCCTGGTGGCAAATATTTACATAACATATAGGAGACAAATCCGAAGGGTTTCTTCTCCATTTGAACCGTTAACAGAGAAAAAGTTTCTTGCTACAGAAAATCAAGTAATTGGTAAGATNATTATTGTAATAGTTGAATTTAATGATCTCTTTTTACAAAATAATTATATTTTATGCTTTTTAGTCTTTTCCTTTGGATACAGATCCAGACAGTGTTTTAAGATCTACTTTAAGACAGATTTCCAGTATGTTAGATGAAGTAAGTATCTTTTTAAAAATTTTTTAGAATATTCATTACAATTATTTAATGTTTTATATAATTTTTAATAAAATTTTAGGTAAGTTCTTGGCAGCAAATGTGTGCAACACAAATGGCAGATGGCATGATGTTTCCATTAAGTCGATTTATTGATGCAGATTTAACAGGCAAACAGTTTATGTACTCTTAATAATACTACTTATTAGTAATACTTTTTATTAAAAAAATGAACCTATCTAATAATTTACTTTAAAACTGAAAGAAATAATTCTTTTATAAAATAAAATTTATATAAATATAGTTCAATCTTTATATTAAATATTTATGTTGAATATTAATATTTTGTTCAGAATAATATTCATAAAGACAAAATTAAATTTTTTGATAGACTATATTTGCTAACTTAAGTGTTACAAGTGTTACAATTAGTTTTCTTTAGTAGATAAATTAAATTCTCTTTGAGTAAAGCTCATTCAAAAACTGTAAATAGACAGAATTTACTGATTGCTTTTAGTTAATATTTTGAAAACTAGAAAATAATAATAAATTAGAATGTATAAGTATTGGGGTTGCTTCATTTTTGCATATAAGCATACATTTTCAATGTATAAACTGATTTTGCAAATTTTTAATTTTTGTTAAATTATCTGTTTAGTATAAATGGTATATATAAAGTCTAATATAGACTTTATATATACCATCATGATGCACACTTCCAATGTGCTGTAGCTCAGATCATTCATTCATTGGGTGTTAATTTATCATCACTCGCATATTCATTCAAAAGGTATTTGAATATGACACTTCATTGCAATTAGATTACTTTTTGGAATACATCAATATTTTTGATGAAGCGAGTATAAAATTAATGGATAGGAATTATTAGCTTTTGTATGGGGTTTTTAATATTTAGAATTTTTATATTTATGTAAAAATTCGGANCGAGTCTCCGTAGATATAACAAACACAGAAATAAATAACACAAAATAAGTTGTAGCTATGTGTTGATTCCGCGCGACACATCCCAACATGTAAGCTGAACAATAGTGGGGGGGATGAGTAATCAAGAGTTGCGTGGCGCTCGAACAAAAGATGAATCGACGAGATTTGAAAATCGCGTAACTCCAAGTTCGCGTAAGTCGGGGTATTACTGTATCATTACTAACTATTGATTGACTGTTTAAAAAATAGGAAAATTCTAAATTAATAAAACATTTTTTATAGTGAATTATTTGAACTTTGGTATTTATTGGTGAGTAACAGGACTTTAATATTGCTGTTTAAATTATAAAAAATGTAACAAAAAAAATAAACCAATTTAAAACTATTTTTATCTAGATGAAGACATTTATCATCTAAGAACTAACTTTTTTAATGACTAAATTATTTTGTAATGAATTAATGCATGTATTATTAATACATTTAGCAAATTGATTTTAAAATTAAGTGATATTTAAAATTTTAGAGAATATTTGCAACTGAAAATTTTTAATTTGACATTTTGTTTAATTTGGATATTATATATACAATATAGATATAATTTGTGAGTTAATCATTAAGTTTAATGTTTTCATTCAGTTAACAGTTAAACATGCCCGGATTGGAAAAGATACATTTAGAAGATGCTTGGGAAGATAATCCACAAGTAATTATCCTTTTTTTATTTATAGTTTTAAATATATTTTAAGGTTATTTATATAGTCAGGGAGTAATTGCAGACCTTTCCCTTAATATCCATTTTTTTTAACAATTGAAATTTGTTTACATAAGTGTAAAACTTAACTAAAACCAGTCATCACCTAAATATAAATTTAAACCTTACAATTTGTGGTTTTTGAATACGATGCTACCTACCTCATACTTTAAATGTGATCTTGTGGAAGAAAACATTGTATTCAACAAATTGGCAAAATTGGGTTTGATACAAAAATACAATTCCTTAAATAGGGATGCATCTTTTGGCTTCATTCAAAAAAAAAAAATCTGTATTCAAATTTTTCAAAGATGCCAATTCAAATATTTGTTTTATGGAAAATATTGTATTTAATTGCAATGTTGCTAAGTAAATGACTTTAGAAAACAAAAACGAGATTAGAATTGTGATAAAAATGCACAGCATGGTCTGAAAATGATTATTATGTAGCTTTAAATATCTTCAGATGACCCTACAGTGTGTGCAAGAATCATGATGTCGTGCAACCGTGGGAAACTTACAAATCTTACCTCAGCAGAGAAGAGGTGTATGTGGTGCAGAGGTAGTGTCCAGATTTCAAAACCTAACAAATTTTTTTTGCCGCCTCTGTCTTAATGCCTATTGCTCATAAGAGCAGTGAAGAAACAAGATCTCATGAACATGATAAATTTTTAAAAGAACACGCTGAGTTTTACAGGGCCTTGCAGTATGAGAAAGAAATCATCATTGGCAATTTGCAGTATGAGAAAGAAATCATCATTGGCAATTCTTAGTACTGTAGAAAGTTTAGAAAATAAAAGCTACTGTTTGTGTTTAAAGTAAAATATTATTTTTTAATTCTTCAAATGAAATAAATACCTAAGTCAATACAGCATTTTTCCAGTAATGTTCTCATTTTCCAAAAAATCATAGCTTTTATGAAATTTTCAAACCATAGCATATAAAAATTTTTCAGGCAGTTTATCTCAATGTATATTTTGAAGGTAAAGATAAGAATAGATTCATAGAAAAAGCAAATTTTCTTGCATTTAAATTTTCCGCCATGCTGTTCATAGAAAAATGTAAGTAACACTCATAGACACAATGTTTCCCCATGACTGTAAACATTATTTTCCTTATGTTTCAAAAATAAATTTTTCTCTCTAAACCATTTTTTCTATGGTAAAATCACTTCAACTTTATAAGTTAATATTTATTTGGTAATGATGTATACTGCATAAGTGAGAATCAGTTTTTTGCCATTTTCAAGACATCAAAGTTACAGATACAATGTTTTCCTAGGCAAGGACCCAAATGTTCCAGAGTTTGGACTCTAAATTAGAGAAAAATTTGGAGTTAAAATGATGCTTCTACATTTGAACAGCACATTCAGTGAAAAAAATGTACTATGTAAATTGAATATTTCCAATACTTATATTATAAGGAAATATTTCCTTATAATAATTTATTTATATGAAATTTTTTAATTTTAGGTTATTTTCGACATGACAACTTTCCTATTCAGAAGTCTTCTTTTAATATAGTATCTAAGTGATAAATTCTTAAAAAAATAAGGTCTTCAAGTAAAGATCAACTCCTCTGTGACTTTGTTGTTGTTAAGATGTGATGATGACAAAATTATGAAGACTGAAAAATTTTTTAGTTGTTTTTTCCCCCACTTTAATTCCAAAATTAAATTTATAAGTTTATTGATAAGTTCATAAGTATTCATAGAAATGAATATATTAAAAATAAAATTTATAATTTATTATAGACTAGATCATTAGTGGCATTATTTGAACAAGATGGACGAACACTTAAAAAATATATTGAATCACTTTATGATCATTGTGAACAAGTTTTAAATGCCCAGGTAAGAACAATAGTGTTTAATTATGTAAGAAAGTTTATAATAATGTAAAATAATAGATAGGATGAAAAGGTTTATTTAATTAACTTGCACATCCAAAATATTATGAATGTTTCCTTCATTAATCACTCAGCAATGAGCGACGACTATAGTTGTCAAGGGTGATCATGTGGCAGTGGTGAGGGACAACTATAGTCGTCAAATTCTTTTGGGGTTATTGCCAAAAACTAGCCTAAAACTACCACAAAAAAAATTCACATAAAAAATGAATTATGTAATAATAAAAAAAGACTTTTCTTTACGAGACATAACTGTTTACAAAATCTTTTTCCGAAACAGTAATGAGAAAAAACACATGGAAAAATACTTTAAAAATTTTCCACGTTTATTCTCCACTACTGGGGATAGAACCATACCCGACTAGTCCACTGTTGAAATCAATCAAATGGAGTAAATGTGATATCCTACTTGATCTCTTAATCTTGATACTTTCTATCTCCCAGAATGGATTATTGGTCAGTCATTAATGAGTTGTGTATTTTATAAATGCATCTGTTTTTTGAACATTATATGTATCCTTACAGCTGTGTATCTAAATTCATAAAAAAACAATGTTTATTCATGTCTGAGTAAAATAAAAAATTTGATGATACAGTTGACCCCCACCACAACACAGTAGACACGTTCCGGTTTTTATGAATCCATTTTCTATGAGTCCAGTCAATCACAACCCGGCAAGTATGCAGTTTATGGACTATGGCTGTTTGAAAGGTTTCTTCCATAAAATTAATCAATTCTAGACTAATTCGACTCAACATTTCCAAATATGTATAATTTTTTGGGAATAATCCATATAAACTATGCTATAAACCAGGGGTGGCCAACAAGTCGATCGCAAAACCAATTTTGGTCGATCGCTTGCGATGTCTTGACTTAATGTGTTACCCTTGTAAGTTGTAACCGAACGCAACTGTAGTGATATTGGACCTCCTTGTTCTCCCTCAGATGCGGTTTTGTCGGTCTATGTGCCATGTGCATTTGCATACAGTTGTAAAAGGGGAATAAGAAATGTAGACAAAGTAAAACCGAAAAAAAGAAGGGACAGAGAGAGGAAGGGTGAAGTGGTGGTCTTCGAAAGTGACAATGTTGAGTTTCAATTTTTCTTCTGTTTAAAATATGAGTATTTTTTCTTCGTGTTTTAAATTAAATTGTGGCTTTTCTTATCTATGTAAACATAGTATGTATTTTATACCTCCCTCCTTTTCGCCACTTAAACCAGGGATGGGCAGCCTTTTTCTGTAAGGGCCGCATTTCAAAACTTTTGAACTGACGAGGGCCTCTATACAAGATAAAAGAGGGGGGAAAATGTCGGTAAATTACAATTATTAATTCATGTATAATTATAAATTATAATAGGTATACTTAATTTAGTTCTAGAACTGATGTAAACGTAATGTATCGAAAATATTTGATTAAATATTAGTCACTGCTAGTTTGAAATTAGTTTTGAGGTGAGTCTGTTAGCCGGTTTCTCGTTTTAATTTTTACTAAATTCATTGCAGGAAAAACTATTCACATACATAAGTTGTAGGAAATAACGTTTGAATTTTTGCTGCATACTTGTTAAGCTAGGAAATTGATATATTTATACACATTTTATGCGACTCGGTCTTTGGGATGCCCATCCCTGACTTAGACTATGCCTATGACAATGAGTCGATCGTGATACATTTTTAAGATAAAAAGTAGATCTTATGTACACAAAAGTTGGCCACCCCTGCTATAAACAAAAAATTGTAGGATTACTTACCGAGTGTGCACTGTTCAACTATGCCATTGCTTAAGCTTGTTTTCCTCGTGGAACTTGTCATCGAATGGCGCTTGCATGCTTCCTGATAAATTATTTTTTTTGCGAAAAATTTGCTGAACTTTGGAGACATCATTAATATAAATATTATTTTTATGGACGTTAAATAATAAATGGTTTTTAGTAGGTTCGCTGCTCATTTAAACTCAACAGTTTGTACAATATTCACTATTGGTCTAGGTTCGACCAATCCTGTTGCGACATGAGTCGGCAATGATGTTTTACCGAATTATACAAGTTTTTTTTAGCATGTTTGTACGAATACTGTTGCAATTTTTTCGCCATGATATAGGAATCTGTGTTATGGGGGGTTGAATGTAAATATAAATATATAAAATATATATATAAAATCACTATATATATAAAATGTAAAATAATATATAGTTTTTAATATAAAATTGTTTAAATAATTTTTTTTATAAAACAATATTTTAACAATTATTAGTTGCATTATATTTAATAAACTAGTGCAAGTAATATGTTAATTGTGTGTGCATTTTTTGAGCTTCTTTTGACCCCTTCTTTTTAATTACATGTACAGTACAGTAGTTTATGAACCCTACTATAATTAAATAACTATGCCTTCCAGTACTTTTCCAGCACAAATATTCTTTTTTGACAAATATTTTTTGCTTTTTTTTTAATAAGCCTTTCTGAGGTGTCAGGAATTTATCATTGAATGTTCTAAATCAGAATGATTCCAGTTTAGAACATTCAGCCAGTGAATTTCTGACATACCTGAGGAAGGCTCATAAAAAAGCCAAAAACATTTATCAAAAAGAATATTTGTGCTGGAAAAGTATTGGAAGGTATAATTATTTTGTTATAGAACTGTATTCCAACTTGAACCCTTCCAACATTGAGGAATGGACTTGAAAAAGTTCTGCAAATATTTTTAAACTGATAGTTTATTTAAATGAACTTACAAGAACAAATTTGTATGCCACTAATATCACTAAAAAAAAGTTTACATAGACCTTGACTCCCTCCCTACCCATATACAACAATATACTTTTTGTGACCCATCTCCACCATAAACTGTACTTATAATTAATTGACAGCCCTAACATATTAAACTGTTCATGAATATCTTATCTAATTGCTTACTAGATAGAAGACTTTTCAAAATAGTTTAGTTTGAATTATAAAATTAACTAGACAATGCAGTATATTTATAATTATATTATCATGAAAACTTAATGAAATTTCTTTGTTTTGTATCAGAGTTATTAGAAAAATAGTATACTGATCATTCAAAAAAAAGCTTTATAATGTATATCTTTCTCATATATTTTATTAATTTATTTTGTTTAATATCCATTTTTATTGTGTTTTGCATTACAACTTAATTTAAACTTTCTAATATATTTGTTTTTATATTTAATGTAATTTTATCATAATTGATTATTTGTTTAATGTTCTAAAATATTTTTTGTGCTTAAATTCTGATAATAGCTATTAACATAACTGAAAATATCAATAGTCTTTAAAAATTCATCAATTTCAATAAAACTGTAACATGAAATTTAATATATTAACATCTCACTATAAACTATTACATTATATTTGGAATTAATTGATTATAAAATAATCAGTTGATGATGGCACATCTTTCTTATGTTTCCAAATTTGAGTAATCATTAACCGGTACTAGCCAGATTACAGTATTACTTCAATCTGTTATAATTTGATGGGATGTGGATATGCTTTGATCTCAAAAAACATATTATTATTTTCTTATTTAACATGCAGTGAATTTTGTGATAAAAAATAAATGCATTTAAAAATGTTTAATATTTAAGTAATTTACAAATTATAACCTTTATTGAATAAATTATAACATATTTTAGAACAATTACTGATAAAAGTTAAGAATATTTTTGAATAAATTTTCTTTGATCCTGAACTATGGCTAAAGAAAAATTGAAATTTCTAAATAATAATTATGCAAGGTGAGTCAGAAGTCAAGATCACTGTTTTAGGCTTGAATTTGTGAAATTAGGGAAGTCAGTTTTTCAGTATTTTCAACCAATTTTGTATTGGTAATGAATTTTAAAATAAATCTCTCCCAAGTTAGGACAAAATGTTTTAATTCAAATGTTTTTGTTATTACAGCTGATTTCACTAATGTAAAAAGTCAGTTTCATATAATATATTCAAAGTGTTTTCCATTAAGAGCCATAAAAAGCTTTAAATGTCTGTTTGAATTAGTGTGATCTTTAAGCTGATTTCAAAGATTCTAAATATGTGTGAATTTTTCACTGATACACAATGTCTTTCAGATGGCATCATAGATAAATTGAGGTGTCAGATTTAGTGACCTGTATGGTCACTCAGTGGATCCTTAACTTAGCCAATGTCATAGGAACTGTCTAACTATGTGTACACAGCTACATCATAATGAGGAGGGCAGCATCTATCTGGAAAAACTTCAATAACTTGGAGCCTTCATCCTGCAGCATGTGCAGATACAATTCTGCTATTAAGTTCTTATCAATGAAAAATTGTCCAATAACCCTATCACCCCAGATTCCAAACTATTACTTTGCTGGAATTCTGGGTCTTTGATAAATCTATCCATTTAGATTTTTATGGTTTCAGTGTCTTTGGTTTGCTCATTCGCTTTCTCATTAACATAAAAGTTTGCCTTGTCACTAAACATGATTTCACTTTCAAGTTGTGAATCATGGTCCAACATTTGTAAGATCCGCTGACAAAATTGAGATGTTTGTCAGGGCCATCTTTATATAGCTTTTGTTGCAGCTGAAGTTTGTATGGGTATCACTCATTTTTGTGCAGAATCCTGATAGCAGTAGTTTAACTAACACCATATTTCATTGATAGTCTTCTGATGCTCTTCTGTCAACTTTTGTTACAGTGACTATCACTCCTATTAATATGTGGGATCACATACAGCACTAGGACAACCACTTCTGAATGCTAACTGTTGCCCTAAATTTTTGGATAATTTTTTCAGTTTGTTCATTAATTGGCTCTCTGTATCATCATAATTGAATATCTCTGACTTCATATGAATCTCTACTGCCTGCCAACAGGATCATAATTTTGTCATGAATTCATAGTGACATTATCAGTTACCTGAAAAGACATGACATTAGTATCTGCTGTCATAACACTGAAAAACTAACTTTTCCAATGCATTTCTTGGGAAATTTAGCCTAAAACGATGCATTTACTTGTATTCAAGAATCTTTGATGGGAAGGGGTCATATCCCCTTCCCATTTGAAGATTCTTGGAGTCACATGTGTCTGACAGATACTGCCATAGTGCCAAGAAGTTTCCTTCCATCCATCTAAGTGTTCTATAAAATTTCCAAAGTGTTGTTTTTTATTCATAAGATATTTGGAGTAGTCCTGATTTTTCACTCATCCTGTAGTTATATTTAAACATAGATGTTGATTTTTCATAGCATGGAAAAGATGCTGTCATATGCTATGTAATATCAATGATCAGCAATTTATTGTAATCTTAAAATTTTTAATTTTGTTTAAGCATATTTTTGAATATTAAAAATATTAAAAATGTTAATATTTTCAGAGAGAATTAGCTGATGCTACTAACAATTTGTCCAGACACTTAAGAATATATGAAGACCAGGTAATGTTTATATACAGTATTATTAAAATTTTATGTAAAAATACAGATGGTCCTCAACTTTTGGACATATTGTTCTTTTGTTCAATATTTCGTTATGCCTATATTGCTTTTCACATACCAAAATTCTCACTTCTTACATTTTCAGTTGACAAGTAAATTTTAGAGTATCATGTAGTGGCACTTTTTGCCAGTTTTGATAAAATAAAAATTATTAGTGAAAATAAAAGTTTTTCTGTTTATTGAAAATGTTGAATCCATAGAACAATGTTTTAAATATTAACATATTTATAGTAAAAAGCAAAAGTTTTCCATCTTGCCAAGAGATTTTATAATTTTTCTTTTTAGCCCTATGGGTATGAAATTCCATTTATTTCTTTTACATGCCACTTTGTTGCTCATTTCACATTACAGTTATTATTATAAGTACTGGCAGTCCCTAACTTTCAAAAGTTAGGAACTGCCTGTACTTACATAAATTATTACCACTTTCACAATAATGTTACTGCTACATGTTCCAGTTTTCTAATAATTTCAAATAATCAGAATTTTACTGTGTATAGAAAATATAACACATCTATTTGTTGAACTGAATATTTATATTTATATTATTGTAATAGTTGAATTTAATGATCTCTTTTTACAAAATAATTATATTTTATGCTTTTTAGTCTTTTCCTTTGGATACAGATCCAGACAGTGTTTTAAGATCTACTTTAAGACAGATTTCCAGTATGTTAGATGAAGTAAGTATCTTTTTAAAAATTTTTTAGAATATTCATTACAATTATTTAATGTTTTATATAATTTTTAATAAAATTTTAGGTAAGTTCTTGGCAGCAAATGTGTGCAACACAAATGGCAGATGGCATGATGTTTCCATTAAGTCGATTTATTGATGCAGATTTAACAGGCAAACAGTTTATGTACTCTTAATAATACTACTTATTAGTAATACTTTTTATTAAAAAAATGAACCTATCTAATAATTTACTTTAAAACTGAAAGAAATAATTCTTTTATAAAATAAAATTTATATAAATATAGTTCAATCTTTATATTAAATATTTATGTTGAATATTAATATTTTGTTCAGAATAATATTCATAAAGACAAAATTAAATTTTTTGATAGACTATATTTGCTAACTTAAGTGTTACAAGTGTTACAATTAGTTTTCTTTAGTAGATAAATTAAATTCTCTTTGAGTAAAGCTCATTCAAAAACTGTAAATAGACAGAATTTACTGATTGCTTTTAGTTAATATTTTGAAAACTAGAAAATAATAATAAATTAGAATGTATAAGTATTGGGGTTGCTTCATTTTTGCATATAAGCATACATTTTCAATGTATAAACTGATTTTGCAAATTTTTAATTTTTGTTAAATTATCTGTTTAGTATAAATGGTATATATAAAGTCTAATATAGACTTTATATATACCATCATGATGCACACTTCCAATGTGCTGTAGCTCAGATCATTCATTCATTGGGTGTTAATTTATCATCACTCGCATATTCATTCAAAAGGTATTTGAATATGACACTTCATTGCAATTAGATTACTTTTTGGAATACATCAATATTTTTGATGAAGCGAGTATAAAATTAATGGATAGGAATTATTAGCTTTTGTATGGGGTTTTTAATATTTAGAATTTTTATATTTATGTAAAAATTCGGAATTAAATTTAAAATGCATTCATTTTTGTTATCAGATTAAATGTCATTTTTAAAAATTTTTATTTTTACTTTCCTGTGGACATTAAGAGGGTCTTTTTTCCAGTCCCATTGTGAGTTTGGCTGGGCTTGAAATGGGACAATTGATAGTGAGGAACAGAACTCAACCTATATGGGACAGACTGCTCATAAAATTTCCTGATGTTGCCTGCGTAGATTCAGTCCTGGGTTCTCTAGAGTGGTGATCTTAACTGTCTCTGCCATCTGGCTGATCACATTTTATATTTATGATACAACTTATAAATTGCTTTAAATCATGAATTCTTCGAAAAAATTAACATTTTATTATTTTAATTTTTGTTTTCAATTTTCATAATTTTGCTTTAAATTTATAATTTAATAAAATATATTTTTACAGAGATATTTACAATGGGTGAAATGTTTCATGCTTCATGCAATGGTAAGTTTCTTATAATATAAAACATTTCATAAACAAGTACTAATAACAACATAGTTATATATATATATTGTAATGTAATTTAAAAACAGAACTTTATTTTTAAAAAAAAAAAAAGGAGTCAGAAGTCTCTTGAGTTTTTTCCATTCCAAAAGAATTGAACATATATGGTGTGTCTAAAAAGTTTGGTGAATGTTAGAATAAAAGCAACAAAGCAGAAGATGCATAGATGTTACTTTTATTGTACTTCAAAGGAATTACTCTCCATGAGATACAACATACTTTTGACATTTATAAAGTTTCTGGAAACTGTTGGAAAAGTTTTGTTTAGGAACTGCCTTAACTGCTGTCACACTGGCCTGAATCACAGAGATGTCAGCAAAACATGATCCATTAATGTTTTGCTAATATAATATAATTTGCTGATATAATGTTATGATATATAAGATTAAGGTGACATAATGTGGTTTATAATGGATCACATTTTGTTGACATCTCTGCAGATCACTTAAACAAAAAAAAAAAGTCCACAGATGCAAGATGGGGATTCCAAGACAGTCACATCACATTGAGCCAAGAACTGGCACAGCATGGTGTGACTGCAAGGATTACACAGTATGTTAGCACATTGTTGTGCAGCAAAACCCACTTTCTGGTCTTGTAGAACTCTGCAGTATATGCTGGATGAGTTTCAACAAATGTTTCAGAACTTCCATGTTGTGACGTTTTTCTACTGCTCTTGACACCATCTCTCACACAAACTATGCTTAAATGACTGACAAGCCCACTTATAATCATGCCTATTTCATGCTAGGAGTCACTTCTAGACTTGTCCCTGGATGTCTGTGTACATATTAGAACTTGTGCATGTATTGCATTCAAGATATTCTAACATTCATTAAACTTTTTTAGACACACCACATATATTAATTTTGTTAATGTAATTACATGGAAGGAATGCATGGGGAATTGAATGGAATCTTTTGTTCACCTAAAAATGATTTTCAAAGTCACCAAAAAAGGTTTAATTCAATTTGCCATGCATGACTAAGAAGTCATGCATGGAGAATTGAATTAAACCTTTTTGTGACTACATTAATGAATTAATGTATCTTCAGTATTTATGGAATTGAAAGGGTGTAAGGAACTTTTGATTTGATTCACCCTATATATAATGTAACGATATACATTATTAGTGTTTTTTATTATTGTGTATGTATATATATATATATATTTATACAATAATAAAAAACACTAATAATATATGCAATATTGTATGTATGTTTATATGTATGTATATGTATTTGTGAGAACCGAGAGGTTATAGCTTCGAACTTCTCCCCACTTACCAGCAGCTCTGTCAGAGAATGGCTATATAGGAGGGCAAAATTGTGAGTGGGGAAGGCAATGGGCAAGTTGACAGGTTACTGACTGCACTCAAGGATGACACAGTATTAAATATAAAGTAAACATATTTAATTAACTAATTATCTAAAACTATACATACACATACAAAGCGTAATGCTACAAAAAAAAAAAAAAAAAAAAAAAAAAAGAATACTCAAAATTATTCTATATCGCGACAAGGAATATACGTTCGTCAATTAGCTGTCTAAGTTCTAGCTCTGTGAAACCTATTATTCTTTTAAATTCAACTAGCCTAAATTAATAACTGAGAGAGGGACAAGGAATGAAAGAGAGAGGATCAAATTTAGAGCATGCGATTTCCTCTTGTGTTCCCGATCTACTCAAATGGGCATTGGTAAGAACTGTCTCCAGATTGGCTGACTCTACTTGTAGTGTCTCTTCTCCTTGGTTCAGGATCTTGGCAGGAAGGCAAGGATTGCGACAGACGGTATGGCAGTATGGGTTTGGTGTCCCCCTGATGTCCGCTCGGCTATGTCCGCCTAATGCTATCAGCTGTGGACATCCGCCTGTGCTATGTTTGCTTCGGCTGTCTGCCTCGCTGTGTCTGCCAGCTGTGTCCGCCCCGAGGTTCAAGTGCAACCCCTTTTTATTCCTGTCCTGAGGGGGGAAAAGTTCGGGGAACATTCTGATACAATTCCATGTAAGTTCACCCAGTCATGTAAGGTTTCGAATTCTGACAATTAGTATATACATTTCTGTAGATTTATTACTTCTTCTATCCAGTATTGTCACTCTTTCTAATTCATAAATTCAATGGCAGCTGTCAAACTAACAGAATTAATTGCTGGAGGTGACTAAGGTTAGGATATGTAGTGCAACCATAGTAATAATTGTTCACTTGGTGGGTCATCTGATCGGTTTTGTTTTACTTTATTTCTTATCAGTAGAAAATGTTAATGTCAAGTTATTCTTATTAAACTAATTAATGTTAAGCTTCCTCCATCTGTTATTTATCTATAAAAATATTGACTTAATTTCCTTTATAAAAGTGTAATTTAAAACTGTTGCATGTATTAATTTATATACTAGAACAAGTCAGAATCAAAATTATCATTGTTTTAAATAATATATTATAGAAATAAATGAACAGTTAAATTATAGATTAATCATAAATAAATTAATTTGAGTCTGTTTTTCGTGTTGGAACAGATTATTTGGTTTTACATGTAATCATATGGGGAAAAATGATTCACCTTACAACATTTTCATGATACAAATTCAGTTTTGGAACAGATTAATTTTGTATCCTGAGGTACTACTGTATTTATTATTTGCATTCAATATTAAATATGGGAAAGCATTCAAAAGTTGGAATCGGTTTCAGAATGTGTTGACTTCATGAAAACACCAAGAAAAACTCAAATATTGAACTTCTTAAATGAGTCAGTTTTATTGGATTAAACATTTTTCAGGATTCTCTATCTCATCACCATATTCAAAAGCATTCAAATCAGAAAATTTGAATAAGAACATCTGTAAATTTATGTTGAGTGTTTAAGAGGAAATTTGAATGCAAAAACAGCTTTAAAATCTCAAACAAAACTTTTGTTTTGAATTAAACACGTAAGTGTAAAAACATCAGCATTTTTCTTAAATTGTAAAAAGTCGGCATATCACCCTTATACACACTCATTGAACCTTTATCCCCGATACTGATTAGTTTTCGGCCTCACTCAAGGCACTATTTATGCAAAGAGCAAGAAAGAGATGATGCTCCATAGCATGCGCATATCTTCAAATTTATTTTATTTATTTTAAAACTCAACATTCAAATTTATTTTAAAACTCAACGTTGGAAAGTGTTTCAAAAACTGTTCTAAGTTTGGAATCTAGTTTTCATTTAACCTGAAGCAGATCTCGGGTGAGGCCGAAAACGTTTGTTCTGAAATCTAATCAGTACCAGGGATAAAGGTTCAACGTGTGTGTATGAGGGTGATCATAACACCGGTAAACAGAGCAAAGATATTGTGAGTCAGCATATTTTTAAAATTAAGTAAATAAACTTGAATACAATAATTATACTAGTAATGAAATAAAAATAAACAGAACTGAAATTCACAAAAGAATTCCTCAGTGAACTTCCTCACAAATATGTCCAAACAGGCTGTTTATCTTGAAGAGGAGAAGAAGGGTCTTGAAATGCAGTGATATATCAGAAAGTGGATATAATGTTTAAACCTGTTCTGCAGAACACAGTTGCTCCACAAAAAAGATTTTAAAGTTTTTATTGCATATTTATTCCAATGTGCTACTATATATTAATTTATTTGTATACAATTCCATGTTCATTATTTTATTCAATATAATAAAGTTTATTAGTTTATTGTTGCATACTAATTTCAGGAGATTAGTAAAGAAGGAATTGGTTATCAATTTTTGAATGTATTGATGTAAATGCTCTGCATAATAAAAGGTATATGAGTGATCTTTGACAACTTCAGAAAGATTGAGAACCACTGAAAACCAAAAGCAATAGTAGGGTGAACTGGATTGAATTTGACTGCTTGATCAAAGATAGAAAAAAGTGAGAACCAGATAAGTGAAGAAAATTTAAATGGATTTTTAAACAACTGCTATTGTCTAAAAGTATACAGAAGGTATTTCCAAAAACATTTAAAGTTCAAGTGTTCGAATGTCCTCTCAAATAATCTAACGCATAAGTCTTGGTCTTTATCATCCTCCAAGGCCAATGGAATACTATCTAATTGTGCTTGCACTGTGTCACCAAAGGGCCCACAATATGTAATGCTGGATTCTTTAGCAACATATTGCTTACATGTATGCTTCATCTTTCATAATCATATAAATCATGATTATGAAAGAAATTTTGTTATATCTTCTGTTTTTCCCTCTTCTATTCCCACTGTTTACCATTGTCTTATCACTTTCTGAATTAGAATAAAAAGAAGGGTCAACTTATCATCTATCTTCAAAAGTAGAATGCCATCTTCCTTTGTTTTACATTTCTCATTGTATTTTATCTAGTTGTGATGCTAGTCACTCACATTTCTGTATCATATCCTTTATAGACTGTGCCAATCAAAAAAGATCGTTTTTTTGGATCTGCCCTTTCCTATTTCTTCTTTGCAAATCATACCATCAACCACTTTAAGTTTTTTATTATCCCTTTCTTCTATAGTTACCCTTCAATTATACTCATTCAGCACTCAATTTGAAGTGTGCTTCCATTCTCTCTTCCATTGTGTTGGATGACTCAGTCTTGTTGCATCCATTCTGCCCAATCAGAAACAAAGGACTGCATTAAGCCAAATGCTAATGGGGACATAGGGAAGGACCATGACTCTAACACCTATTATTCATGACTTGATTAAAAATGACATAAGCTTTGCTAAAGAACATCTGAGTGGAATATACAAAGTTCTAGCTGTTGTTGGAATTTTGTATATTTTTTTTTATTTATTTACAAGTAGAAAAGTCTGCATACAATTGATTTCCACCATCCAAATAACAAATCCCAATAAAAAAAAAAAAAGTAAAAGCAGTAATCAATAACAAATAAACTGGTGATAGCACAAGGAAAAAATTAAAATCACATATTAATTAAGAAGGAGAAATTCTCATTTAAATTATTAAATACAAAGAAACCCAAGAATGAAAGCAAAAAAAAAAAAAATGAGGAAGTAAGAATGAGAATTCTTTAAGAAAGAGAAATTATAATGATTTTTCTAGCTTTTTTTTCGGGAATCATTTAAGAGTTTTTACTGTTGGAGGTTAGAAAAAAATGGTGTCACGAATCGATCTTAGATGTATATTTATATAGATATGTTAACTTACCTATCAAGCTTGATACCAAGTTTATTTTGCTTTAGCAATTCACTCGGCTAGCCACACCATCCTTGATTAAGCCGTTAAGTCAGATTTTATCTGCTTCATTGATGTCATGTGAAGTGATAAGACAGAAGCCACCAAGTTGGATGTAATCACCCCTTCACAAAAGACTACCTTCTAGTGAAGTAGATCAGACTAAAAGAAGAAGTTTAAAACAAAAATAAGCATGTAGAAGTAAAAAAAAATTATTTAAAAATTATATAAATTTCATCCAAAAAAACAAAAATCATTCATATCGTTACATTTACAATACTTTGAAGGATACTTTCAATTGCATTTGCTAAACTTTCGCTTCTTCTATTTTTTCATTGTTTCTCATTTGCAAACAAATTGCATTTTTCTGTCGAATAAAAGAAATAAAATAAAATAAAATGCTTTTTTTTATAAATCTAAAAGTTCAAACAAGTGTTCTTTTATATTGAATTCATGCATGAATCTATCTAATTCTTTTTATAGAATGTTTATTTATCATTCAATTTCGTCGAGTTAGTGAAAGCTAAAGTAAGGATTTATCTACATTAAATTGTATTTAAACCCAAAATCGTATGTTTTATTTTCGTAATTTTACACCCTATTTTCATATAAAAATATAACGTTAAGTAGATATAATTATCGATATTTATGATACAAACTCTTAATTATAGTTATACGTCTTGCTTATATATAGGATTATCCTTATTATCCAGATAATTATCGAGTATTAATATGACTTTAAGTCATTTTTGGCAGTTAACCAAGTAGCTTAATCATCATCCAATGGCGTATATAGCAATTTGATACCGTGACTTATGCTTAAGATATGATGACTTAAAGATTGTTAATGATCATCATCAACACACACAAAATATCAGCAGACGTCATAAACTAATACGTCAAATTTACGTATTTCTGGAAATCTGATAGCGTGGAACAATTAAAAAAAAAAGNATTTTGTGGTATAGATGTGTTTCAAATATTTTTAACATGGCTAGAAAAATAGTGATCAGTCTATGAGAGTGACTGTCTTTTTTGGGAAGGGCATTTATTTTTGAAATTAGCTATTGATATATTCCACTATATTAGTCTTCTTACTCTCCAGGGCTGCGGAGTCAGTAAAAAAAACACTCAACTCCGACTCTTATTCCTGATAATTTTAGTAGACTGACTTTGACTCTGGCAAAATTAAAAACCAAGTCATTTTATGGGGGGCAGAGGCACTCATAGGGGGTACCCTACTCTGAACTCTGAAAGTAGCCCCGGGCATTTACCCAAATACTTTTATAGTTAGTATTTTTAATATTTAACTTACATTAATATTTATTTGTAAAAATAAATAAATTTTTAACAAATATTTGTTAAGAGGAGAAAGGGGAAGCGATAAATTCAACATCTACATATCTTTATTCTACAACATTTGCACTTCAATTTAACCTTTCCAGAAAAGTTAGTCCAACTAAAAAGTGGTGTGATCTAGCTACTTCAGTACCTTGTTCAGAAAAGAAAAATATATGCTCTGATCAATTAGTTTGGTTCATTCAGTAAAATAGAGTACTTATTTAGAGAGGGGATAATAAAGGAATGAATCAGAAATATTCAAATTCAATTAAGTCAAAACAATTTAACTACTAAACATAAATGTTATAAAGAAAACTACATATTTAATTAATAAATTAAATTGTTGCATTTTGTATTTAAAATAAATGAATTATAAGAAAATACAAAAACATTTTAAAAAATTATTAAATATAAAATAAATTTTCTTTCATTTAAATAAAAAAACTAAATTAAATTTGAAATGTTGGAGTCGACATATTTTACCCAACTCTAACTCCTCTGGCCAGAAATTCCTCCCAACTCCAACTCTGACTCCACAGCTCTGTTACTCTCAGCAGATAGTAAGAAGTATTACCCATTAAAAACTGTGATATTCAATCTAGTATCATTGAAAGCAGACTGAAGGAACACAAAAAGGATTTAAAGAAAGGATGAGCATCTATGCCTCTGGCCAAGGAACATATGTACAGAGCAGCCCTATATATAAGAAAGAAAAAAAGATGCATAGAATCTTGCAAACTTGGTAGTATATTTTAGTATTTAAATCATCAAATTGGTAATTTTGAAAAAATAATTGTACCAGTATCTGTTGTATTTACAGAACAATTATTTTCAAATTTAAAATTGATTAAGTTACTACTTTCATAAACACAGACACATGCCTAAAACCAACACAAATTAACTCAAATTAATACTTTTCCAATGTTTTTGTTTCTTTATAACAGATACTCTCAGACATAATACATATAATGCAGAACCAAACAAACTAAATAAACAAATATATGTATTATATCTTTGAATGTCTATTTTTAAAAATAGACAAAAATATTAGTAAAAGTATTAATTTGAGTTAATTTATGTGGTTTTAGATGTATATCTGTGTTTACATAAGATATTCTAGTTTTGGAGTAATTGAATTGAAGGACTACTTTCATTTAACAATGTGTTGAGAGACTTTCTTCACTTTCAAGTGTGTCCATTGAAAGAGATTTTGCTGCAGAAATGAGCTTTTTTCAGTAATTGACTAATTTTGAGATGCTAAAAACAGGAGAGCAATTTTATAGGTGAAGTTCTGAACACTTACAGAATTTTCCAATTCATTGTAAAACTACTGTGTGTATTTTTATTACTTTATTGTGTCTTAATGTCTATTTCTATGTTAAAAATGTTTATATATTATATACCTAAATAAATCTATTTACTTTCATGCTTTTTTAATGGGCTTCAAAAATAAAATTTTCCCTGGGCCTCACAAATCTTAGAGCTGCCTCAGCAGGTGTGCAACCAAATTGGTAATAATCTTAAATTATCTTATTGGATATGAGATTCTCCCTATTACAAGAGTCAGTGAACTTGCTATAGCTATGTCCGTTCTTCCCTGTTGAACAAAGAGAAAGTAATGAATTGGCCTCTTGGGTGTGGTTATTTTCATGTCTTCTATCATAGTATTACAAACAATTTTTCTTCAACAGACTTTAATCACTTCTACTCTTGAAACATTTTTTCAACTTACCCCCTTTTTTCAGACATTTTGTTGGGTCTAAAATTATTTAAGGATATTGTGCACATCTATTTACATTTTTGTTGTTTTTGTATTGTATTTCATTTTCATTTCATTACTAGTAAAATTATTGTATTAATGTAAGAGAATTATGTGAAATAATCAAGGAACATATTAGAGCAATAAAATATGACTACAAGAATTCACGAATTGCTAAACATTGCATGATGAATGGATATCGAATGGATCTTAATACATTGAAGTTAATCCAATCAGAGAGGAATATGATGAACAGAAAGTTATATGAACATCTAGAAATAGTTAGAAACAAAAATCTTTTATTATTAATGAATGAGAATGATGGAGTAAATTTACACAAGTTGTGGAATTGGTTTCTGGCTGATAGGAGTCATGAGGGGGAGGATTTCCAGTTGCAGTAGGAGTGTTGGTGAATGAGGTGAGGAACAATGAATGAAAGTAATTACTACAAGGACAGTGCAGAATGTGTATGGTTAAAGGAAAGAGCACAGGTACTGCAATACTTTTAAGATATAATTAATTTAATTTTTTAAAGAATTTAAACAATAATTTTTTTTAAAAAATAGGAAAAAATGTATTTTATAATGAAAATATAAAAAAATAATGGTTGGAATATTGAAATATTGTATTTATGTAATTATGTAAGGTAAACATTTAAAATTTTTAGATGTATAATTGTAAATTTATTATATTTATTGTATATTTACTAGAATATCAAAAAAGTATTTGTGCTTTGTTTGGCTTGTTTAAAAGAAAGCCCATTGAGGAGGGAAATATTGTAATTTTCAAATTGCATCTGGTAAAATAAAGTTCTTGATTGGCTAGTATTTTTGGAATCTGTGGATGTGATAATTCTTAGAGTATTTGAACCAGTTACATATTGATATTCTGATTTGAATATTTTTGGGTTTGATGACAGGCTGGAGGAATCTCAAAAAATACTTAATTCAATAAAAATTTTGTCTTTCTTGATAAGGGTTAAAGTTTACCTTGGTAGCACCAATGGCAGCACTTAGGTTAGGTTAGGTTAACTACATTTTTAGTGGATGTTTCCTTTTTTCTTTTGTTCAAGAACTACCGTGAATCAATTACTAGTGGCATTAAGTAATCAACAGCCTGCTGGTGGCTCCCCTCCAGGAGGAGTCTGTCAGGAGCACGAACAGTTGGAAACGTGGCCATTGTGGTTACCAAAGTAAACTTTAGCCTTGATAAGTTTAGCATTTGTTTTTTTTTTCTTCATTTTAAAGTTGTTAAATTTACGACATAGTAACTAAATTATTAGTAAAGAATTACACTGTATTTAAGTAAATTACTGAATAAAATGATTAGTGACTTTGGTATTTTTTCATTTGAAATATTTTATTTTACTATAATTAAGGTTCTTGAATGATTAGTTTTCTGCATTTGTATTATTTAGAATTAAAACAAGCAGTTGGTAAATTTTGCAAAGTACCACAGAGAAGAGATAATGAAAAGCAAAGACAAGATACACGAGATGATGTTTATACAACTAGTAAAAAATTTCATAAGGTATTTATCTCTTAAATAAAATTTAATCAATTTTCAAGTTTTTTTTAACTGTAAAGATAATTAGGAACTGATTATAAATGATTTAAAGTTTTATATTCATAATTATTTTTTAATGTTTGTTAAAAATTTACATAAATATAAATTCTAAACTGATTTCTCAAAAAGAATGTAGTTGTTGTTGTTTAAATAGCATTCTTATTGATAATACAATGAAAGTATAAACATCACTCAATCTGATATTTAGATTAATGCCAAATGATTGCCAGATTATATTAGGATATATTAATGCTGCTAATAATACAGGTAATAATAATGAAAGTGTTTGGTAAAAATTTGTATGTGCTGCTCTTCATCCACTCAAAATCACATGATCCTTTCAATTATAAGATCTCTACTTTTAGGACCTTTATAAGTATGGGTTACACCCATTGTTTGATGGCAATAGATAGGAAATAGAACTTATGTTGGATATAAAGTTGATTACATTTCAAGTATAGCCAGGCAACATGGATACCCTGTGTGCCAAATTAATGCTCTTATTTCACAGCAAGAATATCCCATTGAGCTCTTATAATCAGCTCTTACAATCTTACAAAGATACTTCCTTTTCAGTTATTATGTATAATGTGGTTCTGGCTAACATCTTCAGAGAAATATCCTGCTACATGAATGATAGGATTGCTTACAGGATAGTACCAGAAATGATAAGGACCCATTGGAGAGGTGCTGCAAGCTTGGGTCTATACTGTCTCTCTACATGGTCACAGAGTGAACTTTGTGTGAATATATTGGAGCCACTGCTTGATGCCTGAAAATGAGAATTAAGGAGCATCAATATACTATTCAAAAGGGTCTCTCACAACCACACTAGCTACATTCACTGATGATAACGACATTCAAGTTAAATTTGATAACACCCATATATTACACCATTGTGATGACCCAGGCAACCTTGAACCATCTGGAACAATTAGAAATATTCAAAGCCTTTAAAGGGGTGTGGTAGTCAATTATAAGGATATGGACTCTCTTGCAACCATGTGGAGGGTGTTTATGACCTTCCATAAGTCTTGAATTAGGTTGTGTATTTTATATTTTGTAAAGTTCTGTTTCTTTAAATGATTACTTAATGTATTATCTGGATTGAAGCATGATGTTAAATGCTGAATTAGACATGTGTGTATTTTGTGACATATACAACTTTTAAATTTCTGTTTTTTTTTTAACACATTTGTTTATATCTGTGTTCTTTGAAACTGAGGATGACTTTTTTAAAACAGAAGAAAATGTTTGTTTTCGTTTTATTTCTTTTAATTTTGCTGGTTCATTGGTATTTACATCTAGTTGAAGTTAGTTATTTATATTAATACAGCCAATATAATCTAGTGATCTTTTGGAATTAATTGATGATAAAATTTATATTTGGAAAGTTTGTGCTAATTAAATCTCATCTATATATATATATATAAAAATGAATGTATGTCTGTCTGTTGTATGTCCTTCATGCATTACCACATTATTTATCCGATTGCCATGAAACTTTGGGAAGTTGTTTAATATACGCCCGTGAAGGTTTCTGGCATAGAACATTTATCCTACGATAGATGGCGCAAGTGTATACAAGCATTTCATCGTGAGTTCAATCGATTTCAAATTGTGAAGACCATTTCCCCCTCCAAAAAATCTCTCTATATATGCATTTGTGAACTGTTATTTACGATATTTGTAATAATTTTTGTTTAATCACTTTATTTCAACTATTTTTTGCTAATTATGTATTTGCTCAAACTCTGTTAAAACCTTAACTGTATCGCAAACAACAACTGAAGTTGTAGGAGGAAATTTGCCTATTTTACTGATCTAGGGATCCCCCCTTTTCCAAATTTTAATATCAACTCACAATAATTTAAAAAGACAAATTACAATAAAACGGTTTATTATCCAACTATCAGAAATTTCACAACATGCCAAGGAAGAGAGGAAGGAGCAATTAAATAATTAAAATTATAAAGGATTTAAAAAATATATAAAAATGGGGAATATTGCACTTCTGACAATCTCTGTATGTGAGCTAAATTTAAAGAATCCGTGCTTCTCACATGGACAACTGTATGTGGCCAGCTCACGCGTTGGAAAACCTTCTGATTTATTCGTGTACGCACCAGACGGAAAAACAAAAAATATCGTGTATCCACAAGCACTCCAATAAATAAATAGAATTGAAATGTTTTCCTGATGAAAATGAATAATAATAAAAATAAGTTTGAATAAAAATGATAAAATATAAATTGAATTTTATTATAACGAGTTTGCTTGAATTTCGTTTCTTCTGAGATCACAGCAATGTGCGACGGGTAAGCTAGTTATTAGTAAAATTAATAAATTTAAGCTTTCAGTTTAATTTCATTAAAAGGAAAATTACAATTTGTTAAAATGAAAGATGTGAATTATTAATTATTGTTATGAATATAACTGTGCAATATTGTGTGAGAACTGAGGGGTTAGTTGTCCCCACTTATCAGCGACTCTGTCAGAGGATGGCTTTCGAAGGGCTAAATGTGAGTGGGGAGATAATTGGGTACGTCAACAAGTTCCCAAATAAATACGGAGGTTGAACAAGAATAACACATTTAATAAACGATAAACTTATACACAGCAAATGTAAAAGCGAATGGCTACAAAAATGGAAATAATCTAAAATAATTCTAGGTCGCAACAATGATTAATCTATTCTTGTCTGTAGACTGTCTAAAGTTGGACCCTTTTTGTCCAATATTCTCCAAGTTAAACTAACCTTAATTTAGCTTATAATTAATAAGTGAAATTAAGACATGAGAGAGAGCTTACAATCACTGAATTTCTTTCAAATACCTTGAATAAGTGTTGTATACGATGTCGTCAGGACTATCATGGACCTGGGAGGTGGTCATCTGGTTATCTTGGGATAGAGACGGCTAGTATGGTGAGGTGGTGACGGACAGAGTGGCGGTACGGGTCTGTTGACTCTTGTTGATGTCCACTCAGAGGACTATGTCCAAGCCCTTTTTATACATGTCCCGGAGGGGAACTATTGGGGGAAATTCTGATGCAATCCCATGTAAGTTCAACTTACATCAGGGGTTTGTTTATATTATTGTGACACTTTCTCATCATAAATTTGACAATAGCTGTCAAACTCACTAAATTAATTGCCACAGGTGGCTAAGGTCAGAATATCTGTGGTGCACCTGGGTAATGATTGTTGCCTTATATGGTCATCTTGATCTGTTTTCTCATCGTTCACATCGAACAGAATAGAGTGGGGTTTTTTGTTCAGTTCGATCTACCCTTTGTCTGTGACCTTTTTGTTATTCTCTATCATGTAACAAGTTGAGGTGCTTGTTTATTGGCTATTTATTTGTAAATCATAATGAAAGTGGAAATGAATAATCCCCAGGTGTGAGGGGAGAACTTTATCTGTTGTCCTAAATGTCTTTGAAAGCCTAGAAGATCACCTTTCGAAGTGACACAGTACACTGATGGGTAAAAAGGTCTAATTTCGACCTCCTAAAAAAAATCGAAACTGGAGGAAGAAGGGAAATAATGATAAACAATAAAAAATTTGTTTTGAGTTTAAAACTCACAAAAGAGTCTACATCCTCACATTTGTAAATAATTAAATCATGAGAAATGTGAAAATCAAATTTTCTAACAATTTTTAGTGTTGAAATCCAAAATTTCAGAAAATGATCATATATTGATAAAATTTTGTCAAGAAGTTCAAAAATGTTATAAATATTTTAATAAATTATCTAACTGTATATGGAAAAATATTTTAATATTTTATATTTTCAGATGGCTCTACATTATTATGCCAGTTTAAATGCTCTTCAATACAAAAGAAAAATTGCTTTAATTGAGCCTTTGTTAGGTTACTTACATTCTCTGAAATCTCATTTTGCTGTTGGGTATGAAGCATTGAATACACCAGAAGTGGAATCCTTTCTCTCTAATATTAGCACAAGTGTCCAAGGGTAGGCAGTTTTATAATTTGTGACTTATTTCATATATTTTTTATATTAAAATTTTTTAATTATTTATATTTTTACCACATTCTCTTTATTCTAAAATGCTCTTTTTTTTAATCATTTTTACTAGTCTGAAGTAAAGCGCATCTTAGAATCAATTATTGTCTTATGTTTGCTGTCAAAAACAAAAGATCCAGCAATGTGTTGCAAACTTTCCTGGCTTCACCAGAAAAGTTTGCAACATGCTCTTTTGTTGGATTCCATTTGGCTAAAGTAATGTTGTTCCAGGCTTCACTCCTTTTTGTAGAAAAATTTTCCAGAATAAAACTAAAATATGTATCTAATAGATTTAAACTTTTTCAGGACAAAACTTAAATCTATTAGATACATATTTTAGTTAATTATTTAAAATAAAATTGTATAAGGTGCCATCTGTTATGCAATTTATTTAAAAAATAAATTAATTATTATTTATTATTATTAAAAGGCAATAGGCTTTATATTTGAGAGTAGAGATGAATTTTTTAAGAAATTGTAAATTCCAATAACAAGTAAAATTTTCATTAAGTCCACCCTCTCAAGATATAACATGTGACCTCCCCTCTATCTCCCCAGTCACTTGATCTGTAATCACCAAAATTTAATAGTATTAATGCCCCTTGTATACAAGTTACCATGCCAAATCTTATTTCTTAATTTAATCTCTACCCCATCCTGAGATATGAAATGAAATATAATAGATATCTGTAATGTTGTGTTATGTTGAGCACTTTCAAATAAGTCAAGTTGAACTACAAAGAACCATGTAACTACTGTAATCTCTAGCATGAGGTCTAACACACAATGCTGGTAGACAAAGGAGATCTTCCACGTGCCATAGACCAGGCTCAGTGCCATCTATTGGCGGTCAGGCCACATGTCTAACCGACACTCAAATGTGACATCTTCCTCCCTTTTTTTTAGACCTTGCTAGATCGTGAATACATTGAGCTGAGCTCATTTACAAGTTTAGCCTATTTGGAGAACGTACAATTCTGCCAGAGCAAGCCGTTGTAACCACGCCTTGGCTGTTCTGGGATTCACTGTCGGCCAGGTGAGTATTACTTTCTGGTTGTCGTGCAGTAGAGTCCTGTGCAGGAAGTGCTGGGGTAATCGTAGGTGGAAACCGGGCCTTGGTTGGCATTATCATCGAAGAATTATGACATAGTGACGAACTATCTGTGTACACACTAAGTAGAAACAAGGTTGTGGAAGTTGCTTTTCCACTATTGCTGGTGACCATTGCCTATGAACAGTTTGGAGTCTCACTAATGACTGCTCAGGCAATGAAGGACATTCAACATGTCCTTCGTGCGACTGGACTGTAGTTTGGGGAACACATCTTGGAAACCTACTGACGTTGTGGACGGGTGAATTGGGAATAAAGTTACAGTCTGCCTCCCAAACAAACGCTGTGCAGGGGAACTGAGACCACTGCATGGTAGATTCCACCAATTTAGAAGCTCTAGGGATTCATCTGTTCTATCAGCACGACATCATTTGATTATGGATTTGGCCATTTGTACGTACCTCTCAGCCAGCCCGTTGGACTGAGGATATTTGGGAGAGGCAGTCATGTGATTGATCTTCCACTGTGAACAGAATTGATGAACTGATGCAAAGAGTATTGAGGCCCATTGTCAGATTCCAGGGTGTCTGGAATTCCATGCATTGCAAAGACACGCTTTAAAAAGTTGATGACTGCTAATGTGGTGGGATTGTTTAGTTTTTCATATTCAAAGGAACCCGAGTAACTGTCGGCCACTAGCACATAAGTGTCACCTGCCACCTCAAACAAATCACTGGCGAGACACTGCCAAGGATACCGTGGCACGGACTTCATGAGGAGAGACTCCCTATCAGGAGCACGAGCCATGGCCTGGCAAATGTGACAAGCTGCAGTAATGTCCTCTATCTCGTGGGTCATACCAGACCAAAAAATGATCTGTCTAGCTTGATTGAGCATTAATTGAATCCCGGAGTGGCCCAGGTGCAACTTCCGGCGATAAGCGGGACGGAGTTTTAAGGGCACTAGGAGTCTTTTCCCTTTAAAATTGAGTCCTTCATACACTGACAGTTCATCTCTGTATATCCAAAATTCATGGATGGCAACTGGAATTTGATCAATCGAGTCTGTCCATCCCGCTTGTATGATCGTAATAAGTTGCTGTAGTTTCGTATCCTCCTCCATGGCTTGATGTAAGTCAGCTACCTTACATTCTGCAAGTGGAACATCCACAGCAACAATAAAATCATCTAGCGGGTCACAGGAAATTACTGTTGCACAGTTCTGGCTTAGAGCATCGGTCACTGGTATTCTCTGCCATGCTTGTATACCACTGTAGGTGTATATTGGAGAACATCGAATAACAGATGTTGTAATTGAGGTGGTGCTGTGTTCAGGGACTTTTTTGCAATGCTTTCTAATGGCTTATGGTTGGTTTCAATTGTTAGGTGCTTCCCATAGATGTAGTCATGGAACTTTATACACCCATGTCGTATTGTGAATGCTTCCTTCTCAATCTGTGGATATCTCTGTTGAGCATCAGTTAGTGCCTTTGTGGAATAAGCTATAGGGCGTCTCTCCTGCAACAGCACTGCTCCCACAGCATATGAACTAGCATCCACTGATAGTGTTATGACTTTGTTGACGTCATAGAATGCTAGCAGTGGAGTTTTTTCATTGCTGTTTTCAAGCTGTTAAGAGCACTCTGTTGCCGATGGTCCCAGGTCCAAGTCATGCCTTTTTGAAGTAGAAAGCGAAGGGGTTCAGTCATGTAGGAATAGTTTGGAATGAATTTAGAAACATAATTAGTCATTCCTAAAAAGTGTTGTAACTTCATGATGTTAGTAGGGACTTTCAAACTGTTGATAGTTTCAACCGTTTTGGGGTCGATCTGGACACCTTGAGCACTGAAGACATGACCCAGAAAGTTTACTGACGTTTGCTCAAATTACATTTTTCTTGGTTTAATCTAACACCCCACTTGTACGGGCGGGATAGTACTTCGTTGGTGAATTTACATAAGTCTGGTGTATTGTCTGCCCAAATCAAAATGTCATCCATAGAACACTCCGTGTTTTGGCAGCCCTTTATGATGATCTGCATTACTCGCTGAAAAATCTCTGGTGCCGATGCCAGGCCGAATGGCACACGTTGAAAAGGAGTATCGGCCCCATGGAATATTCACTGTTAGCAAGTCAGCAGTACGTGGTGTAACAGGCAGTTGCCAAAATCCCTCTGAGGCATCTAGCAGGGTAAAGTAGGGTGCATTAGTTATGCGCGCCATGTCTTCCATGGTTTTGAGTGGAAAATGATGCCTTTTGATGGCTTTATTAATATCTGACAGATCCATGCACAAGCGGATTCTGCCCTCTTTGTGCACTACCACTAATGGACTCACTGCTGGTGTTGGGTGGGTGACTGGTTTGAGCACCTTTAGCTTGACCATATTGTCCAGCTCCTCCTTGACTTCTGCATGAATTGCATAAGGAATATTTTGTGGCAGGTGCATGTGAAGAACTGGGTTGTCTATTAATTCTATGTCATATACGAAATCTGTGATACAGCCAATACCTCTAAAAATATTATCTGGCACTGCAACTTCCGGTTCAACTATTTCTACTCGGCGAACAAGATTGAGCTTTTCACAGGTGTCTTTGCCTAGCAACAGAGAATATTCGCTTTCTATGACAATGAACTTTATTCTTGCACTATGACTTTCCACAACACAACTAGCAACACATTCACCTAGCACAGGCGTATAGGTGTGGTTGAAGGAACGAATACGACGTATGACACTAGGAATTACTTTTAGCTTAAGGCGTTGAACTAAGGAAAATGGCACAATGTCACCAATGGCACAATGTCCAACTTGAACACAGCGGAAATTCCACCAGAGAATCTGACAGGAACACGTCATGATTGGGAAACACTCAGACATGTGGGTTGGTCCTGAAGCAATTCTGACACAGACAAACAGCCATACTCTCGTTCTCTGTCCGACTCCTCAGGGAGCTGCACTTCACAAGTCTGCTGCAACTTTTGCCATCTAGATGGACAATTTTTAGCATAATGATCCTCTTTTGAACACTGACGGCAGTGGACCTGATACTTGTACAACATGCTGCAATGCCAACACAAATGCTCTGCAGCATTATTTGCCTGAGTTACTGAGATCATCCTTTTCGAGAATTTTAGCAAATTCACGTCACTGTTCACAAATTCCATTCTAGGTTGCATCTCTCGCAGTTGGATGGATGCTGACTCGCTGGCTCTACAGATCTGAATAGCACGATCCAGCATCAGAGTGGGTTCTCTGAGCAATTGTTCTCTGCTCATATTGGAGCATATGCCCTGCACTATTTTGTCTCTTAAGAAACTGTCCTCTTATATACCAAAATTACATTCCCAAACTTTGGTTCTAAAGTCGGTCAAGAATTTATCGAACAACTCACCTTCCGACTGCATGTGCCTGTTGAACAACCAGCGGGCACATGTTTCATTTGCTTGGGGAGCGAAATATGCATCAAACTTTTGAAGGATTACTAGTGGATCTGTTTTCTCTTCCTCCGTGAGTGAAAAGGTATTGAAGATGACCATTGCGTCTTGTCCTATGACCGCCATGAAGACCACTGCTTGAACATTAGGCGGTTTCAACAATAGCTGTGTGGCCATCGCAAACCATTCATAATGCTGTTTCCACATGGTAGACATACTGCCATCGGTCACAACTAACTCTGCTGGGGCTTTTAGTGGTGCTCTATCCATATTAGAAGGTAGTGTACGATACGATATCGGACAGTAGAACTTGCAGACAGGTCGATCAGCACAAAAATGTTTTATTCTGACACCATGTAATGTTGTGTTATGTTGAACACTTTCAAATAAGTCAAGTTGAACTACAAAGACTTGTATTAACAGTAACAAAGAGCCACGTAACTACCGTAGTCTCTAGCACGAGGTCTAACACACAATGCTGGTAGACAAAGATCTTCCACATGCCGACCAGGCTCAGAGCCATCTATTGGCAGTCAGGCCACATGTCTAATCAACACTCTCATGTGACAATATCCCCCCACATACACAGAATTTGTTTTTCCCTCTTTTGTGTTCGGGAGGTCTCAAAATGTGGAGATTTGCAAAAATTTCAGAGTGTCAAATTTGACCTGATTCCAATACTTTTTCACGTTCTACACATAACTGCTGTGAAAGTAAAATTATCATGAGCAGACCTACAATGCAATATGTTATGATCTAATAATAGATGTTTTTGGCTATACTATTCAATAGACACACCAGTTCAAATAAACTCTGCTGGTAACAAGCATTTAATTTAAAGTACTTTTTAATGTTTAAAAATGCCTTCAAGATTACATTATGGTGTAACTTTAAAAAAAAAGTTATTGTATAGTCTAAATGGAAGAACTGCTGAACATTACCTCTTTATTGAAGCATTTGTATTATTTTTTTAACTTTTTACCTAACAAAACAAAATAAAATTGCTTGCTTTTAAAAATTTTTCCTCCATAAAGCATCTTAAAATTTGATTCAAATCATTATGTGGCTTAGAATCAAGTAAGTACTGTACAGCATTATCATTTAAGTAAAGAAATTCTGTATTTGCTCATTATGCTGTTAGTAATTTAAATAAAATTACCTTGACTAACCTCTTAAAAACTTTTTCAATCAATAGAATAAACTTTTGAAACTTATTAATTACTCATAATTTTATCATTTCCTGAATTTTGTTAGCAAACTTTTAAAATATTCAAGACAATATATGCAGTCTTCAAAAATAAAAGTCCATTAAATTGAATTTATAACTGTAAGCTAAACATCATTATATAAAATTACATGGAATAAAAAATCACATTTACTAAAAATATTCTTATGAGATAGTTAAATAATGGCAGCAATAAATACCATTTAAAATTGAAAGGTTGAGTGCAATGGTAGTTTAACACTTGTCTATGTTGAAATTGAGCTAATACTATCATCTGTTCTAAATACCCTTTGAACTGTATAATAGTAAATTTAAGAAAGTGCAAACTGCAAGGATACATTAAGGAGTTCAGCCAAAATGTTGTCAGCACTGATGGAAAAGTTTTTATATTGTATTTTCAATGTAACTGTAACAATGGAACATTAATGGCAGGTAATCCAACATATTAGTACTAACAAATATGCAAAAGCATCCTCATACTGTAGATCGACCCTGCAAACTCAAATACAATCTTGCAGTGGAACAGAAATTTTCAAACAGGCTGAAGATCAGCAGTCTATTTTTCAAAGACCTAACATTAGCTTTCAAAGCAACTGATATTTTTTTCTGTAAACTTGAGAATCCAGTATTTCAAAAATATCTAGAAAAATATTGCAACATCATGAATCTATGTTCAGGAAAAATTACATGCCTGGCAGCTGTATTGAAAAAAAATGATGTGTTAGGAAGGCAGTAGGAACAGAAAAATATCTGGGTATTATAGATGAAACCACTGATGAAATGAATTGTTTCATTGACAACATCATTCTGGACAAATTTATTTGTTTCTAGATTTAACTCTTATGTTGTTAAATGAAATTTTCTTCATATTTATCTTCAGATATGATGGTATTATGACATTAGAAATGTAACAAATATGAGCACATGAGGATATTGTCCATAATATTAACAATTAAAAAAATAAAATGCTGCAACTACACTGCTCTATTTTTGTCTCCCTTGTCTTTTTTGTCCATATTCAGTAACGTCCAAAACTTATTCTCTTGTGAGGACAGAGTAAGTAAAATATGTGAAAATAAATGTGAAGAAATAGTCTTATTCAACAACATTAAAGAGTTAAATCTACAGAGACTTATTTTTGCTAAATAGGAAATGACATCACAATTTTTAATCTCTTGTTTTTTTATGATTAAATGTTAGGAATGATAATAGTAATAATAATGCTAATGATGCAGTAAAATAAGAAAGTTATACATTAAAGAACAAAACTAAAACTCCAAAGGTTGAAACCTACATTGTCTAAGTCCAGTCTTATTCACTTGTTCTAACACTGCTCTGGAATGTGGAACTTAGACTTTTAAGCTAAACACAGACTTTTTTGGAAATGCTTGAGAAATGGGTCCTATTATTTGGACAAGGAGCTGTTTGTGTTTAGGGCTATGTGCTCACCAAGTTTTGTTTTAATTGGAGACCCAAATGTCTGGCCCTCCTCTTGTTAGCCATAGCAATCATTTTTGAATAATTTTTTAATGAATAATTCCAAATAACATATTTGATAATAATTTTTAAACAGTATTTCACAGATTGTGTCATGTCAAAATTTTTGTTTTAGTCTACTGAAAAATGGTCAGTGTAAAAAAGTGATCCCAAAAATTCACCAAATTTTGTGTCAGTCAATAAAAAATTTCCAATGAAAGTCACCTTCTGTTCTCAATGTCACTTCCTACTTTTCTGCCCAAACTTGCTGCATGACATCACAAAATTATTAGATGTGTGGTGCATGGAACTCCAATCTAACAGGAGCTAGACATTCAACTGTTTTTCGTAAAGTGTGTTCTGTGGTTCAATTTTATGCTGAATGTCAGAATAAGAAGACTAGTGTTTTTATTGTGACTTGCTATTGCCAATATAATATTTATATCACCATTTTAATAAAAATATCACCAAGTGATAATTTTGGCACTATTCAGTGCAACCCCTGATATATATCCATAATGATTTATCATCAAAGACAATCTTTCAAAGTTAGATATAAAATTTAGTGAATTTGATTATTATAATTTTTCAATTTATAAAAGTAAATGGCAATTTTAATTAAATCATACATATTTAAATATTTTATAAAATAGATAACTAGAAATTTTTTAATTATATAGAGTACAAGCTGAACTTGGTCAAGAAACCCAGAAAACTGTAGAATTAATTGAATCTATAGAAAAACAAAGTCAGCATTTATATTATGCTGAATTGCCTGTTGATTTGCCATATATTCCACCAAATACAGGACTTAGCCAGAAGTCAGGATATCTGTTTCAAAGAACGTAAGTATAAATTTTAATGTGTTGAGCTGTTATTAATGAGTAAAGCAAATAAAACAATTTATATCAGATTTACAACTTCTTGAAGAGAATTATAATTACCATGTCTATAAGTAGATACAATTGAATGCTAAGTAGCAAATATGGATAAGATGCTCTCTATTGTTTTCTCTTTATTAATAATAATCTGTAATTCTATACCAAAACTTTATAGATACTACATTTATTATGTTACAGTTGTTGAAAACATTCTTAGTAAGAAAATTCATTGAGTTCAGATTTTTTTTTTTTTAAATCTGAAAATTAAGTGAAGAATAAATTATTTCAATAATTTATTAAAGTTAACAGCTTGCTTGCTATTAGTTTTTTTAAGAACTAAAAAGTTTTAAATTCAGATATCACACAATTGATAATTTATACTAATGCTTTTAGAGAAATCAAACTATTTGATTAATGACATTCAACCATCAAAAATGGATGATTTCAAGATTAATGTATGATTAGGAGATTTAATCATAAATTAAGTGTAATAACATAAAATTAGAGTATTATTTATATAGAAATGCAAAAATAGGAAAATGTTTAATATTTTCTTCTATTTTGTATTTTTAATTGATATATTTAATATTAAACTTTAAAAATAAAGACTTGTAATAAATCAATTTGAAATATAATATAAAAGATATTATTTGAACTTATATTCTACATTGCCAATATACTGCAATAAATAACAGATTAAATTTCTTAGATTTTTGTTTTTCTATGTATGTAAGAAAGATTTTAATCTGGAGTTATCTAATATTTTATATTTCAAATAATCAAAATGAAAGATTTTATATGTAATCATCTAAAATAATTTTATTTTTTTTTTACTGTATAGAAAATTTGCTGGAATGGTAACAAAATGGGAACAAATATATTTTTATACTGTAGGAGGATATTTGATGAGCATAAGTAAAGATGAGGTATGATTTTTATATAAGTATATTAAACAACCCAAAGCCATATATATATATACACACACACACACACTCACATACATAGCCAAACAATTGCCTTACATACTTGGGCTATAAATATGCTATTTTTATATAAGAGATGGCACCTAATGTCTACCTCTAGTAGCAAACTTACTTAGTATTAATTATTAAAAATGGCAGATTTATAGCCCGAGTATTTAAGGTGATCTTTTGGCTATGTACCTATATATTTTAAGTAAAATGTAATTTTTTGTTATAAATTCTTGAGAGAGAGAGAGTATCAGAAAAGTTCCTAGTTCATTTCTTATTACATAAAATATTGCCAACTAAGCATGTTTTCATACAGCAGTGCACTCAACTAGTTGGAGGAATTCAAAATTGGCATAAGTTAATTTTATTATTTAAAAAATGGACTTGGGTTGTTTTCGTGAGCATTGTAAGTTTCAATTTAGAATTGCATACAATTCAGTAATTTCAATGATATTAATTATTTCATTCATTCATTCATGGGTGTTCTGTCCTAGGACAGGTCCATGGAAAGCAGTCAAATTATAGAATTCTCCTTCTCCAACATTCTCTATTTCGGGCTTCCTCTTTTATTTCTTTATAAGTTTTGCCTAGTAAAATATCATCTATCAATACTTTTCTTTTTCTTCCTCTTTGTTTCCTTGCATCAATTTTTTCCTTCTAATGCCACTCGCATTAATCCTTCTCCTCGCAATATATGACCTAGCCAGTTATTTTTTCTTCTTTGTATTGTTTTTAAAAGAGATCTCTGTTCCTGGACCAAATTTAAAACCTCTTCATTCTTAACCTTTTCTGTCCACTTGATTTTCCCCATTCTTCGCCATAACCACATTTCATATGCTTCAAGATAGTTTGTTTCCTTTTTCCTTAAGATCCAAGTCTCTGCTCCATATAAAGTTGTGCTCCAGGAAAAGCATTTTATTAACTTCTTTTTAAGTGTTTGGTTCATTTTTCCAATAAGAAAGTTCTTCTTCTTATAAAAAGCCATTTTTCCAGCCCTGATTTGTTCTTTGATTTCTTTTTCACATCTGCCATCTCCCTGAATAATGCTGCCAAGATACCTAAAATGTTGAACTTGCTCTATTTTGTTTCCATCAATTAGGATTTTCAAATCTTTGCTAATTAGCCTTCCAACTTTCATCACTTTTGTTTTAGCTATGTTAATTTTCATTCCAAATTTTTTGCAAGTTTTGTTGAGTTTTGTTACCAAACATTGTAGAGTTTGTTCATTTGGTGCAAGTAAAGCAATATCATCTGCAAACCTAATACTTTGTATTAATTGGCCTCCAATTTTAATTCCGAGGCTGTCCTCACTTATGGCTTCATTCATTAATTCCTCAAGATAAATGTTAAAAAGAGTAGGTGAAAGTGTACACCCTTGCCTGACTCCTTTTCCAATACTGCATGGTTTGCTTTCTCCAGTTTTTGTTCGGATAATGGCAGATTGATTCATATAAAGTGAAGCAATGAGTCTTCTATCTCTCCAATCTGTTCCTATTTTTCTTAAGATTTCCATTAGCTTTGTCCAGTTAACCATATCAAAAGCCTTTTCCATGTCAATAAAGCAAATGTACGTATCCTTATTAACCTCAATGTTTCTTTCACAGATTGTTCTCAAGAGGCCAATGGCATCCCTTGTTCCTTTTCTGAATCCAAATTGTTCTTCACATAGAAATGTTTCAGCCTTGTTGTAGAGTCTTCTGTTAATGATTTTAAGAAGGATTTTTGAGGCATGTGAAATTAAACTAATTGTTCTAAAATCACTACACTTTTTAGCTTTTGCTTTCTTTGGTATAGGTATCAAAATACTTTGAGCAAAGTCTTCAGGCCATTCTCCTGTTTTATATATGAGATTGCATAAGTCTGTTATTTTCTCGATTCCTTCCTTGCCTAACCCTTTTAGAAATTCAGCTGGTATTCCATCTACTCCTTCTGACTTTTTGTTTTTCAATTCTTTAATTGCCAATCCAACTTCATCTTTCATGATAATAGGTCCTCTTTCATCATTAGCTATTTGAGAAGATTTTTCCAATTTTAACTCTTTAGGTTTGGTGTTCTCTCCATAGAGATCTCCAATATATTCTTTCCAATGGCCCATTATATCAGTTGGGGTTAAAAGTGCTTTTCCATCTTTGTCTTCAATACTCAGAATTTGGTGGGTGCGATCATTTGTTAGTTCTTTGACTTTTTTGTATGATAGATCATATCTGCCTTTTTTGTTCAGTTCTTCGATTTCCTCACATTCCTTACTTAACCAAGCTTCTCTAGCTTTTCCAGTTTCACGCCTCAATTCATTATTTAGCTTCTTGTACATCATTCTCCCTTTTTCATTATTTATATTTTTCCAATTTCTTCTTTCATCCATTTTCTCAATCATTTCTTGAGTAATCCAAGGTTTTTTTATTCTAGCACCATTTACATATCCAAGAAAATTTTCAGCCGATTCCTTTATTGTATCTTTAATTCTTTTCCAATTTTCGTTTGGGTCAAACTCACAGTCAAAGTCATATGGAAGTTCTTTTAATTTATATTCCAGGTTTTCTTTAAAATTTAATCCAGTATTTCCATTTAGCTTTTCCAAATTCCATCTTTTTATTCTTTTGGCTCTCAAAACTTTTTTCAATTTCATCACAATATCTGCAGTTAATAAGTTGTGATCAGAATCTGCATCTGCTCCTGGATATGTCTGAATTTTCTTGACTGCATTCCTAAAACGACTTTGAATAAGAATATAATCTATTTGATACCTTCCAATGTCTCCGGGCATTTTCCAAGTGTATAGTCGACGTTTGGATTGTTTGAACCATGTGTTTCCAACTATTAATTGATGCTTGGTAGCAAATTCAACTAGTCGTTCGCCTCTTTCATTCCTATTTCCTAGCCCAAACTTGCCCACAATTTTTCCATCTCCTCCTCCTCCTACAGATGCATTCCAGTCTCCCATAACAATTAGGCATTTCTTAGTTTTATCATTTTCTATTATATCTTCAATTTGGTCATAAATTTCTTCTACTTCTTCATCGTCATAGTCTCCAGTAGGCATGTATACTTGAAATATCATCATATCCATGGGATCGCTTTTTATTTTAATCATTAAAATTCTGTCACCTCTGCATTCAATTCTCTCAACTGAGTTTTTTACCTTCTCACCTAAAATAAATGCTACACCATTCTTTCCTTTAGTTCCACAAGAATAAATAACCCTGAATTCATCACTAAAAAAATCACCGCTGTCCTCCCATCTAACTTCACTAAGCCCAAGAATATCCAAATTCTGCCTCTTCATTTCTATATTGACATTTTCCAACTTACCTGGTCGAAGCATGGTTGTTACATTTCATGTTCCTATTCAAATTCTTCCTATAGGGGGTTTTGCGAGGTGACGACCTGGGAAGCCCCATAACTTCCCCTGCCAGGGGAGTTGTGGATGACCCATGCCTCATTAAAAATCGGGGTTTTTAATGAGGCACGGGTCATCCACACCACTCGTCATCATGAACATCTAAGAACTTTGGAAGCGATGGAAATTTACAAAGCAGATCGCAAACTAACCTGCATCAATCTTAAAGAAGAAATGAATCTCTCAACAGCGTGGCAGTATTTATTGGAGGATGAATCATAATTTATTATACGATACACCAGATTATTATGGGATGCGCACATCGTATATCCACTAGTTAAAATTATTTTTAGAAACGGCACGTGATTATAAAATACACGAGATTATTATAAGATGTGCACAACATATCTCCACGAATATAAATTATAAAGAAATTATAATTCAGAAAGGCATGTGATTACCTTCCTTATTTGAACTTCTAATAACAGAGCACGTTCTTATTTTAAAATATTTGATTTAAGAATCCAGTACATTAAATTTGGCCTGAAGAAGAGCCCAGGAGGGGCATCGAAAGCATTTGCCAATATTAGTTTGGAATTTTCATGCCGGATATTGGTTAAAGACTACACAAACTTTTTAAATTCAAATGCANGTTCTTATTTTAAAATATTTGATTTAAGAATCCAGTACATTAAATTTGGCCTGAAGAAGAGCCCAGGAGGGGCATCGAAAGCATTTGCCAATATTAGTTTGGAATTTTCATGCCGGATATTGGTTAAAGACTACACAAACTTTTTAAATTCAAATGCATTTTGGGTTGGTTTATGTTCCCAACCCCTCTTCAGTGCTGTTAAAAATACAAAATCGAATAAAGTTTATGATATTGGTAAATATGACATAAAAAAAAAAAGGACAGAAAAAATACAATAATATAAAAACTTACATATTATATAATGGTACATCTTAAAATTTGTGTTTCTATATTTATCACATAGGTTATAATCATTCTCTATAACATGGAAATTTTATAAAACATTGTGGTTTAACATGTTTTTTATAAAAATATACAGTTAATCATTTTTAGAGTATCTATGAACACTTACATTTACCAGTAAATATGTATTATTTCAAAAAAACGTAAAACAGAGTAAAAACCGACATCTGGTGCTATCTGGTATCAACAGAGTAACAGTATACTGACAAGTAATGTCATCCAGTTCATTCCTAACATTCTGTACAGCAGGGTGTGCTTTTAGATAGAGAGCACCTCCACGCGTTAAACATTGTTTAAAAGCACACCCTGCTGTATGGAATGTTAGGAATGAATTGGATGACATTACTTATCATCCAATTCGTTCCTAACATTTTGTATACTATTACTCTGTTGATACCAGATAACACCAAATGTTGGTTTTTACTCTGTTTTATGTTTTTTGGAAATAATACATATTTACTAGTAAATGTAAGTGTTCATAGATACTCTAAAAATGATTGGGGACTCGGGTTGGTCGGATAACTGAAAAAATCGGATAACCGAAAAGAATGAAAAAAATACATTATTAGTATAGTATGTTAGTATATCCCATGTAATTAGTATATTAGTGTATCGCTATTAATTAGTTAAATGTAATTAGTAATTAGTATATCGTTAACCTACTTCGCGTTGAATTTTCATCGATGTTAAGTCTAACAAAAATTTTTTTAAAATAATAATCGTCACTATTGTATCGTTAAAAATTATTTTTAAATTATTTTTTGCTCACAAAACAACAAACAACCACTCATAATTAGAAAATTAAATCTCATTTAAATACTGGCTTCCTTTCATGGTCGAGCCAGTGTTGCCAGCTAAAACATGCAAAAATTTAACAAAAATAATATTAAAGTAGCCAAGACAGCGCCAATCACTAGTGGACATTTGAAATTTGCCAACTAGAACGGTTGGTTAACCGATATGACGGTTAATCGGGGGTCGGATAATCGATGCTCTACTGTATTTTTATAAAAAACATGTTACCACGATGTTTTATAAAATTTCCATGTTATAGAGAATGATTATACACCTATGTGATAAATATAGAAACACAAATTTTAAGATGTACCATTATATAATATGTAAGTTCCATCCTTTTTTACGTCATATTTACCAATGTTATAAACCTTACTCTTTTTTGTATTTTTAACAAAAAACGTGTTAAACCACAATGTTTTATAAAATTTCCATGTTATAGAGAATGATTATACACCTATTTGATAAATATAGAAACACAAATTTTAAGATGTACCATTATATAATACATAAGTTTTTATATAATTGTATTTTTTTTCCATCATATTTACCAATGTCATAAACCTTACTCGATTTTGTATTTTTATCAACACTGAAGGGGGTTGGGAACATAAACCAACCCAAAATTTATTTGAATAATTAAAAGAATTTTTATAAAGTAAACCGTAATTTTCTCTAACCAATTACTGTTTGGTCATCTACCAAGAACATTTTCTCTGGATTACAAGGACACTACACACAGAATTTGAACATACAGCAACCATACCTTCAACATTAAGGTAATGTCTGTTGTGGCAGACTTTTCTTTCATGTAATTGGAATGATGAGAGATTGTCAGTACTAACTGTCCCCATTTTAGTGAAGATAGGGTGACATTAGGGTTGCCATCCAGCTGGCATTGGGCCTATTTGACCAGCAACCTATATTTTGTATCTGTAAATATATATATTAAAAACAAAATTTTCTCTCACCATCACACACAAATAGCATAAATTTAAACATTAATTTAATTTACAATTTGAAAATTTCAAAACAACTTTTAAACAGTTTTTAAAAACATTCAATTTTCAATTAATTTGATTTTAATTAGTTTTGGTTTTGGTGTAANGTGGTTTTGAAAACTTGTAGGGGGTCGATGATCAAAAAAGTTTTGCAACCTTGGTAATGCATGAAGGACAGACAGACAGACATACATTCATTTTTATATATATAGATATACAATAAATGAAAAAAAATGCAAAATTAAAAGAAATGTATTAAAATAGTAAGTGTTTTGTTTTGCTTGTAACACACACTTTTTGGTGGGGTCGATGTGTGGTTTTGAAAACTTGTAGGGGGTCGATGATCAAAAAAGTTTTGCAACCTTGNCAAGGTCAGCAGTCAGCAAAACAATTTAAAATGTAAACAAAATTATCTTTTGATTGAAAAAAATATTATATAAAACTATTTTTAATAGTGAAATTCCATTAACTCAACATACAGTATGCTGGCAAACTGATGAGCTCATCGTGGGGGATGTTATCGGTGCACTAGACAGCTGATTAGCATCAGTGCATCTTGTTCTAATGCACTGATCAGTGTTCAGTACCAGGGTTACGATATGCTGGTTAAACTGCAACTGAAAATTAAAAATTCGCATAACTACTCACAACTGGGTAAACTTGATAAAGAAGTCACTAAAACCAAATAACCAGCAGAAAAGGTGGGATAAAGCTAATGTTTTCACCCATATTGAATGGAAATCATCGGTCTAAATGACCCTACAGCAATTGAAACATTGGAGGATTGCTGTACATGTGTGAAGAGGGAAGATGATATAAGAGAGAGAGAGGGAAGGGGATAGTGGGTTTACAATTTGTAGAATGACTTCCACACTGAGAGGAAGGTATCTACATTGTGAAAGTTAATGGCAGTATATCTACTAGCAGCCTTATAAATTTCAACTTGTTCTAAATGTCTGAGATGTACAATACAGGCAGATTTGTACAGTTTTACATGCAAAGATATCAAAAATTGTTGAAAAAACTGAAAACTGTTTGATATTGTGACATATTCAATAAACCAGCACCATGTCAATCCTGACGATGATGGATTAACAGAATATCACTGTATTTAGTATGTTTACTTATAATGATAAAACAACTTTCTCATTATTATGAAAGTTTTTGTTATAATTCACAGATGATGCTATAATACATTAAATTTTCAATTGCAATTTGCATGATTCTTAGTAAAAATACTTTGTCCTCACTAACTTTACTGTCATTTCGAGTTTTAAAAATTGATATTTTAAGACGAATCAATCTAGGCATTCGTGGCTCAAGTGAATGAATTCAAAACTTGGTTAACTTGTGATGATGATGATAATATTTGTTCGGCTCCTTGCATTAGTTGCTGAACCTCATTTAATGTTAAATATGATAGAATTAAAGTATTTACATAGGCAGTTTTTTTTTTAACTTCCAATGGTAAATAAAAGAAAGACAAGTGTATATAACAAAATGAATTTATTTATCAATAGTTAGGTACAAACATGGTTACTTTTTGACGTAATCATCATGAATATTGAGGCATTTGTTGTATCTGTGGATGAGTTTTGCAATCCCCTCTTCATAGAGCATTGCCATTAGTGACTTGAGATGGGCCTTAACGTTGTTTTGAAGATTGTCAGTCTTGAACTTCTGCCCTCCTAGCCACATTTTCAGTTCAGGGAAGAGGTGGAAGTCTTTAACATTAAAGGTGTTTGAAGACTTCCACCTTTCAGATTTTCACCCAGCTTGGACCTTTTTAAATACCCAGTTAATAGCCCTGATTTAGTGCCAAGTGACTTCCATGGTGTCAAAAAGTAACCATGTTTATTCGTAATTTTTGGTAATAAATTACTTTTATTATTTACACTTGTCTTTGTTTTATGGACCATTGGAGGTTGAAAAAAACTGTTCTTGTACAATGAATGCCAATTGTGAGAAGCAAGAAAAAAGTGCATTTTCTCATTTACCTTCCCCTTCCCTAGTCATTGTGTCATTCCGAAGATGACAACCTTAGATGACACAATGGGATAGCTCTTTGAATAAAAGGGAAATTGGCTATAATTTCTTTGAGAGTAGTGTTGCAATATAACTTTATCTGAAATAAGATTACAAATTTATTTTGTAGTACACAATAAAAGCATGCATATCCACATATAAATAGAGAATTTTCAAATATTTTTTGAAAGACTGATTCTGGATTTCCCAATTATTTTCTATTCTTAAACTTGATGTTTATTAATTAATGAATGTACCATGCTCATAATGTAAATTATTAATTTCTAGAATTAAATAAAATAAACTTTAGGAAGTATTAAAAGGAATCAGGAATTGTATCAGAATTGGGATAAATTTTGGTATTGTGTCATCACTACTTTCAACTATATTCATGTCTTCTATTATTGATTACATTCTGTGTACAAGTATGAATATGATAATTTGTTTTCCAAATTATTCATTTTTATTACTTTCCTGGGTGTTATACAAAATAGAGGAAAAGTATGACAATCAGTCAAAAAATGACTTCCCAGATTTTCACATTTTTGGACTCTGCCCTTGAAATATTGAGAAATGCAAAAAACTTGGTAGGTTTTTTCTGTATATATGGATGTGTGTGGGGGGACCATTTTGTTTACCTTCTTTGAAGCTTAATAATTCCTGTGCTTTTTGTCAAAAATTTCTAAAATTTTTCATAGAGGTTTTTGTATTAAGGGGATTGATGCTATTAAATTTTGGTTGTTAAAGATCAAAGGGATAGAGATATAAAGGTTGTCACATGTCATATCTCGAAAAGAGTCAGACTTTATGACAATTTTACTCATTTTTAGCATTTACAATTTTTTATAAAACCCATCCTTACCCTCAAGATTTTGCCATTTTATAATAGTTAAAAATATAAGTTTTTTAATAAAATGTCATAACAGATAGCACCACTAAATATTGCTGAGAAAGTTAAGAGACTTGTTGTATTTTTTTTACTCAGTGTTTCCATTGCTAATGTTAAATTTCTTTAATCTATTATTTAATATTTCTGTGTTATTTAATTTTACTTTTACTTGTAGATTTAATTTAATAAAATATGTAATGATTCTTTAAATTTCTATGCTTAAAATTTGTTACAGGTTGCAGGCAGTTCTGTAATGGAGTTAGATATAAAAGTAGCTGCTCAAGCTTTGGAACAAGAAGATCGAAGAAATGTTTTTCAAATATCAAATGGAAAAAAGTAAGTAAATTTAATTACATTTTCTTCCTTCCAATAGTTTTTATCAAAAGAAAATAATTTGGTTTTATCAATGTTGAATGAAATGATTGGTCTAATACATGTTTCATTAATTTTAATAAAAATTTTCTTATGAAAATTTTCATTATCTAATCCTAAGCTTTTTTCCCCCTCCTTTTATAGAGTAGTTATTCTGCAAGCTATAAATGAAAGAGAACGAGATGAATGGATTGCCACAATAAATAATATTGCAAAGGAGTCCCATTCTTGTCAAGAGTATCCAAAACCAGTTAAACAGCTATCAAAAGATAGAAACTCACAGAAAGTATTTTATATTTTTATTTATTATGATAATAAAAAATTAAATAAAATTATAAACTATAAATTTTTTCCAGTCAGTTGAAAAGTCAGAACGTTCATCAAATTATACTCCATCTCCAACAAGTAGTGAAGCAGGGTATGTAACATAAATTTTAAGATACATAATTGTTCATATGTAATTTGAATTTTGATATTTGTGTACATAAATAGCAATCTGTTGCATTGCTAGAGAGTTGTTCATAGTATTATGCAAACTGTTACTTTTTAGTAACAGATAGGTATATTTATTAATAAGTACTGAACACACTTGTTATTCAGTATTCATTACTCATTAAGCATCTTACAATGAATATTAAGTAGATAATATCAAATTAGGTATTATATATTGGAAAGCCTTACTAAAATAAATAAGCTTAACAAATTTCTAATATAGAATATTTTTCCAACAGAATTCCTGTAAACATTTAGGTATTTATCCCAATGTTTTACCAGCATATGAAATTATGCTACATAAAAGTATGTTGTTTGCTGTCTGTCATTGCAGTACATATCTTAGAACGGGTCTCCAAACTATGGCCCGCAGGCCAACACTAGCCTGTGGTATCTAGCCCACCATAGTTTATTTTGATTACATTGTAAAATTTACAATGTAAGTAAATCATACAAAATAATACAATAGAGCCTCGATTATCCGACCCCCTATCAACCGACCCCTCGGTTAACCGACCGTCCTAGTCGGCAAATTTCAAATGATGTGGCGCTACAATATTTGGCTATGTCTTGGCTACTTTAATATTATTTTTACGTGTTTTAGCTGGCAACACTGGATTGACCATGAAAGGGAGGCAGTATTTAAACGAGGCTTAACTTTCTAATTTTTAACGATACAATAGCAACGATTATTATTTTAAAAAATTTTTGTTAGGCTTAACATCGATGAAAATTCAACGCAAAGTAGGTTAATAGCAATATACTAATATACTAATTACATGGGATATACTAATATACTACACTAATAATAGATTTTTTCATACTTTTCGGTTATTCGCCCTTTCAATTATTCGACCAACCCCAATCCTCAATTAGGTCGTATAATCGAGGCTCTACTGTAATCAAATGTTTTTATTTAACAACCAATTAAGAAACACAATAAGTGACATACATAGGTAATTCACATAATGAAATTTAACATTATAATTATGATTAATGAGATTTATGTAGCTGTAACTTTCCACTGATAATTGTTTGCAGTTAGTTGTGGATTAAGTTTACTATTAGAAATTACCAACAGCAACTTCAAATGCTCATCAGTTAATTTGAATCTGTAAATAGTTTTGAATATTTCATTTCGGAGAATTGTTTTTTCACCAGTGGCGTGCCATCCTTGGAAGCAGTGGAAGCACCGCTTTCCTTGTATTTTCTAAAATATAAATACATATTGCATGATTATTTTCATATTTTAACATACTTTGATTTAATTAAAATTAATATTTTATTATAACTGCATTATGTATCTTATTTTAAATTTTTATACTACATGTGAAAAAAACGATAAGATTGTTATTGTATATTTGAATATCAGTGGCAGAATGGAAGCGCTGTATTGTCGAAACCAGGTCAGCTTCCAAGCAGCCAGATTATATGCATTTGCGCATGTGCTTTACAGAACACCAACCACACCTGGTTTAGCTGGTGAAAGCTACACACCAAAATATCGTATAATGCTTCCGATGATTATCCAGGACCGGTTCTGGGCTGTTCACTGCATGTGTGCTAGATATTTGGCTGCCCTTGCCCCATTATGTGAATCACGAATAGATTTATAACTTAACCTAACCGATAAGAATTTACTGGTATGTTTTTTGATAGTTCTGTATAGTTGACAGGAGTTTTAAAAAAATCCATTAAAATATTTGATATATTTATTCTGCTTTTATTCTGCTCTCCCATCTTGTATCACTTACAGATTTTAATGTTAAACTAGTGATATTACGATTTAGTATGTCCCATCTACAAGGAGATGCAGGAAAAAACGTGTACAATGTTAAAAAATTAACCGTTACTTTGGCAGCATCATTTACAAAAAAATTTAATGAATGAGATGCACAAGGTACAAAAAAGCTCTAGAATTTATATTCCTTAAATTTACGATTTATGTATCCATTGTCATAAAAATTTGTCTTTCCACTTCTTTTCCAAGATTATAAATATTCAAGTTCAAAGTAACCAGTTTCAACTTATTTCTACTTAAGAAGTAGTTAAATAATTAAGAGATTAGGGAATTAAGGACATAAATAAAACCCTGCTGAAAGAGCTGGAATTTTACTTAAACAAAAGCTTAACCGAACCAATCTCTAGCTGAATACAGTGGGGACTGATTTATTCGTAATATTAGAAATATTAGACATAATAAAGACAGAAATTTTTTCCAGTTCAATGAGAGTGACTGAAAAGTTGGAAATTTTGGAAATTTCCATGGACACTTGGTCCTAAAACAAATTAGTTAGAAAAAAAAATGATGGACAATCTATTAAGTTTAACATATTTATACAACTATGGAGAGAAACGTTTAAAATTTACAACAACCCTGTTGCATCTTTTGAGGTATACTAGTGATGCGACAAAAGAAGCATTTGACATTGACTGGTATCGGCACCCTTGGGATTTGGCTGCCTGCGTGCATGTACGCACTAGCAGGACTGTCTCTGATTCCACTTGTAGGGAGCTATTTGACTAAGTGGATTGTTTTCAGATTTAAAAAGTAGATTTATGTTATTTTTATGTATGTTTCTTTACAAAGCTATATTTAATTATATATTAAAAGTATATTCATACAATTGAAGAATACCAAGTAAGTTTTTATTATTTTATGTTTAATTTTAGCCTTTATATCATGGCTAGCAATTCAGAATGTAATTGTGATATTAAAAATACATTTAGAGAATTCTACAGTTTTTACTGGCTTATCGAACAAACGAATAAGAATGACCCTAGACCAGGGGTCGCCAAAGTGGTCAATATAACATTATTGGGGGTCGATTATCAAGCTTAAGTTAAGAATAAGGGGGAGCTAAGGATCAAGCTTATCCATTTCACTAATTGTCAGTTACAAAAATTATAATAAACTAGCTTATGCGTTGTGCATTGCTGCGATCTCAGAAGAAAGGAAATTCAAGCAAACTCGTTATAATAAAATTCAATTTACATTTTATCATTTTTATTAAAACTTATTATTATTATATTATTATTATTATTCATTTTCATCGGGAAAACATTTTTAAGTGTCATTTCAATTCTATTTATTTATTGGAGTGCTTGTGGATACACGATATTTTTTGTTTTTCCGTCTGGTGCGTACACGAATAAATCAGGTTTTCCAACGCGTGAGCTGGCCACATACAGTTGTCCATGTGAGAAGCACGGATTCTTTAAATTTAGCTCACATACAGAGATTGTCAGAAGTGCAATATTCCCCATTTTTATATATTTTTTAAATCCTTTATAATTTTAATTATTTAATTGCTCCTTCCTCTCTTCCTTGGCATGTTGTGAAATTTCTGATAGTTGGATAATAAACCGTTTTATTGTAATTTGTCTTTTTAAATTATTGTGAGTTGATATTAAAATTTGGAAAAGGGGGGATCCCTAGATCAGTAAAATAGGCAAATTTCCTCCTACAACTTCAGTTGTTGTTTGCGATACAGTTAAGGTTTTAACAGAGTTTGAGCAAATACATAATTAGCAAAAAATAGTTGAAATAAAGTGATTAAACAAAAATTATTACAAATATCGTAAATAACAGTTCACAAATGCATATATAGAGAGATTTTTTGGAGGGGGAAATGGTCTTCACAATTTGAAATCGATTGAACTCACAATGAAATGCTCATATACACTTGCGCCATCTATCATAGGATAAATGTTCTATGCCAGAAACCTTTGCGGGAGTGTATTAAAAAACTTTCCAAAGTTTCATGGCAATCGGATAAATAATGTGGTAATGCATGAAGGACAGACAGACAGACATACATTCATTTTTATATATATAGATATACAATAAATGAAAAAAAATGCAAAATTAAAAGAAATGTATTAAAATAGTAAGTGCTTTGTTTTGCTTGTAACACACACTTTTTGGTGGGGTCGATGTGTGGTTTTGAAAACTTGTAGGGGGTCGATGATCAAAAAAGTTTTGCAACCTTGCCCTAGACCATCACTGATGTGCAATTAACTGATTGCCCCTAGAAGTCAGCTTCTTACAGAAACACAGCTTCCCTATCATCAAATCATGGCACACCACTGTTTTTCACACAACTAAGTTGTGCCAAAAGCAGAAAAAAGTCACAAGCAAATTTTTGCAACTGATCAAACTATGTGAGTGGAAGACTTATAAAATTCCATCATTAATGATTTCAAATATTTTTCTTTAAAATATTGCTACACTGTAAATCAATTATTTCCATTTTAAGTTCTGAGGCAAGGGTTTCTATATCAATATTAAAAGGATTTTGAAAAATCTTGATATCATTTGCAATTGCATCAACATCTGAAAAATGAGACTCAAAATTTATTTTTAAAGCACCCAAAGCTTCAATTGCAAGATATACCAGAAATGCAGTCTCAGTTTGCTGATTGAATGTTTGGCATGTATTAAAATGCATGAAACATTTCTTGTTCAGTTGAGATTGAAACAAAACAATTTTTTGTCAAAAGGACTTAATATGAGTGTATAAATCAAACAGAAGCTAGTTTTCTCCCTTGTAATTTTTAATTAAGGTCATTCATATGTTTAGTTAAATCTGTATAAAATGATAACTTCCATAACCACTCATTGTTTTGTAACTCAGCCAGAAGACGATTCCTTTCATTCAAGAAAATTTTGATTATTGCTCAGAGCTCAAAAAATCACGTTAGAACTTTTCTGCAGCTAAACCAGTGTACTGCAGTATAATATGGTAAGTCATTTTCTCCAATCTCTTCAATAAACTCATGGAATTGACAGTGATTGAGTGCATGTGATCTTATATAATTAACAGCTGACATGACTGGCTTTAAAACTTCTGACATATCCAAGCATTTTCTGCACAAAGACTGTTTATGAATGATGTAATGTACGATTAATGGTTTTGAACTACCATAATTTTCTATGACCTTTATTTTTTCCACACATGATTTTGCCACCATCAGTAGTGATACACTTCAAGTTTTCCCATTGAAGATTGTTTTCTGAACAGCATTTTTAACTCCTTTAAAAATATCTTCTCCATTAGTTGTGCTGTTAATGCTAGGAACATCAAGAAGCTCTTCATACACTTAATAATTTTTATCTATCCGTTGAATAAAAACTAACACCTGAGCAGTATCTGAAACATCTGTTGACTCATCCAGGGTCAAAGAGAATCACTCTAAGTGTCGATTTTTGTCAGATAATTGAGTTAATATATTTTCTGCAATATCATCTACTCTTCGAGCCACAGTGTTTAGTGACAAACTGATGTTTTTAAATAAATTAGTTTTTTTCTGGGCACATTTCTTCTGCTGCTGCAATCATGCAATCCTTAATTAATTTGCCATCAGTAAATGGTTTCCCATGTTTCACTGTTGAATGAGCCACATGGAAACTAGCATGAGTTGTTTCTTCTTGTTCAGCATTTACTTTTTTAAACAACAATTGCTGAGATTTCAACCCATGTTTCCAAAGATTCATATTTTTCTAACCATAGGCTTCCTGTAAAATTTAGTCTGATAATGAGGTTTTATATTGTATTCTTTGAGGACTGATATTGTTTCATTGCAAATTATACACATTGCCTTATTACTTGACTTAGTTAAGAAATATTGATACCCCATTGCTCTTTAAATATTCTGCACTCACTGTCTATAATTTCTTTTTCATATTTATACAAATCCACACAAAAGTGACATAATTTCAAATCAAAATAATGCCAATTAATACTATTAAGAGCAGGGATTCTGAGTAAACACTGGATTTATCTTTAAGACACTTTTAATTAAATTAAACACTCACAATTAAACACACTGTATTTTCACTTAGAAACTATAGTCACAAAACATACTAGTTTCATTATATTTCACTTTTCAGATCAAACTTATTGCTCCAAATTCAAACTTTGGAATTGTCAAACTCTCGGTTGTTTCCCATATTTGTACCACTTGTCCTCAGTGTGTAGAACATATTCGAAAACTCTCAAAAGTACTTGAATCTTCCAGACAAACGATCACACAGCAGAACTTTTCCAGAACAAGCTCTGGCTCTGCTACTCGCTACAAGATAGCATTGTGTACTTAGACTAACCAAGCATAATTGACATTTTTTCATAATTTCACCACTCACCACAAGATGGCGCTGTACTACTGTAGCTTTGCCACATCCTGCACTTAACTTCTCTACTCTCCACAAGATGTCACTACTATACATTTAACATGATTGTGAGTAGTCATAACAATATGTAATGCACAGCATGTGCTTCAGCTATCTACGTTGCAATGAAATGTCCTTGGACACTTGCCCATAAGTACCAACCGAAATTGTGAATGGAGCAGAGTCCACCCGTGCCCTGCACCATAGATATCTCACTCGCTGGCTAGTCCTGAAACAAAAATTTGCACAAAATTCAAAAATACAGTATGTTGGTATGATAAGCTAGCTAGGTCTTGGCCCTTAGGACTTAGTGGAGGAGTCAGTATGGCCCTTAGGCTAAAAAGTTTGGAGACCCCTGTTTTAGAATAACACTTGGATGGTAAACTTTTTTTAAATGAAAAGATTCTGGAACATGTATTGCAGATTCCAGCAACAATTAATATGTTTTTATGGAGTTTGTTTTCAGAAGCAGATAATGTTGGAATAAGTGCTTTTAAACATTAATAGGAATTTCGTTGAAAAATGAGTGTTAAAAATTTTCTTGCTTGCTTGCTTTATTTTTTGTCTGTGTGTTTATAACCTAATTACTGATTCCTCTTGTAATTGTATTCATTACTTCATTTATGTCTAGTTTGTAAAGAATTTTATTGGTATTTCTTATTAAATGTTAATTTATTTACAGTCACACTGTATAATACATGATAGTCCCTCCACAGTAGGCTATGCCAATGTGATATCATTTCTTCATTCCTGGAAGCTCTTCTCAATTTCCTTACCCATTGTGGAGGGTCTATAATTACACTGTATAATTTACCATTTTTTTTATTCTCAATGGGTTTGATAATGTTTTAATTGAATTATGCCAATGCATTCTCCAAAGCAACTGCTTGAAAGACATATAATTTTTGAGTGAAATAAATTAAATTTATTTTACTTAAAAATTCCTGTCATTTTTCTGTTTACTTTTAGTAACTATATAATTAAGTCAAATTACTAATATCAGTTTTTGTTTTAATTTTCTACACTTTTATCAAATATTAAATATAATAAGATATTTGAAAGGAATATTTGAACTAAACAATAGGATCTGAAAAAGTGTTAAAATTTTATTCAGCAAAAATGAGAAACACATCATAATGTATACAGAATTAGTACATCAGAAAGTATATAAACATTGATAGCATTATAAACTTCACAGTCATTTTTTTACACCTTTCATCTGCAAGTTTAAAGCAGTTTATTCTTCACTTAGCTTTACAATATTGTAATTTAAATTTTTCCTGTATCTTTCATAATTAAAAATATTGAATGACTACTTGTTACCTGCGACTTCATCCGCAGAGGTTTTGCAAGCAAACCCTATTTATACTCAGTATTTCAACAACATAGTAATTGTTATATAACACCTGCTGCTGAGAATCAAATAAACTGTTTTCAATTTGATAAACTTTCTGGAACATTTACAATCGTTCTATAATCGAACTAATATGCAATAACAAATTCAAATTTAAAACGGTTTGAACATTTGCTTAAAAAATCAAAATATATGAAAATATTTATAACAATGTCTGAAATGTTATCAATTTAATACACCTAAGTACTTAATGAAGACTAAACGTTGTTGAAAACAAAAAATCTCATCTAAAATAGTACAGTAGAAGCTGTTCTTCCGGTTAAGCCTTAATGCTCTCCTGCTCCCCCCGCGGGGGAGTTTTGAAAAATCCCTTCTTAGTGTGCGTTCCCATTATGTACCCTAATTGTGTACCAAATTTCACCTCTTTAGGTTCAGCAGTTTGCTTTGGGCAATGATGAATCATTGACTCAGTCAGTCAGAACAAGTAATTTTATATATATAGATGATGAAGATTAGGCTAATGTCATCATAATCAGTGTTGGGTTTGAAATTATGAATTTACATACATGTTTGCTTGTTTTCTCATGAAATAGCTCGCTCACACTTCTGAATTTGCATTTTTTTTCTATTAATTATTTAATCTCAAAAGAATATGAAATGTCTTGCAAGGTGCAACTTAAAAGAAATAGGACTGATATTTAAAAAAAAACAGTAAAATTATGGTTAAAGCATTTAATCATTATGGAAATCTGTTTTTTCCTCTCACTATAATTTTAAGTTCAAATGAATTTAAATGCACGTTTTTAAAGTTTAGCATTTCAAAATTGTGTTCACATTATGTTAAATGTCTTCAATACTATTAAAATGAGTACGTTTTTTGTTAGCATTTTAACTTTGGATGTCAAATAAGGAGAATATGCAGGATAAGGAAGAACTGCAGTGTTGTGCTTGGCTAAAGATCAAGTCACATGTATGGCAGTATGAGATAGTGTCATAAAAAAAGGAAACAGTTATTAGAATGTCATTTCTAGCCTCATGTAACATTCTCATTTGTAAACATTGGAGAACTTTTGTAAAATTTATTACTAAGTTTTAATTTTGTTCATAATTTTGTTTTTTTTTTTAAGGGTACCTAAGGATTTTATTGTCATCTTCAATGCTCTTTTTTTTAAATTCAGCTAAATTATATAAAAATTTGTTTTTTATAGTGGTATTGTTTTCATAAAATTGCCTTACAATTGATAGGTTTTTGTAGCCATTTTTTCTAAATTTAACACACAAATTTTGTTATGCTATTGCTCCATCATGGATGATTGCCACTTTATGACAGAGGTTAAGACTATTATTACTTTATAATTGGTTTACCCATTGAATTCAGTTTTTGTGGGAAGTTTTTCAAGTGTTTCCAAGGCTTTTTAAATTCTATAAATGATAAATTCAGCATTAAAATTTTATTTAAAGAAAATTCAGTCTGGTTTTTTTTGTTGCATCTTGTATAAATGATTTAAAAAATTGGTCTGTATTTTCAGAATGGTTAATTATGGCTATTTAAAAACAGTGAGAAATCATCATTTTATTCTTCTCAACCATCATCTCCAATGGGACATTTGTTACCTGACATACCTATACAATTTGATATGTTTTCTCCTTCTGACAATACAAGAGATGAGCAGGAAAATTCTAAGGATGGGACTTCTGTGTATGTAATAATTTCAAATTTCATTAATTTTTTTTAATTTTCTTAAAATAATTATTACTTTGTTTAATTCAAACCATAAGAAGTAATCCTTATGATCAATCTCCTACAAGTGTAACAACTGAAGGATCCACAAATTCTACAAATACATTTTGGGAAGTTTTTGCTGTTAGATTTCTTGGTAGTATGCAGGTTCCTAATGACAGAGGTAAATTTTGCATTCATTGCATTAATTAAATATTGATCATCAATTAGAATTTGTTAAAACCTTATGATTTTGATAACCAAAAGCTTTTATTTTAAAAAGTTTGAATAGTAGCATTTGTTTTTGTCTTACATTGTGATTTTTTTTAATTTAGGAGAAAATTTAATCTTTGAAACTATGAGACAGATTATGACAGCTCGTGCTATTCATGGCGTATTTAAAATGTCAGAATCGCATATGGTAATTTCTAATAGTTGTTTAAAGTAAGTTGTTATCTATAATTATTTAATTTTCAATATAAAATTATTAATGTTTGCTTCTATTAGTGACAAAAAACTAAATTATGATATAAATGATTGAGAATCCAATTCAAATCTTTGTATTTTGCAAGAATTGTAGATCCCTCGCATCAAGCTATAAAAGCTACATTTTCTCTTGAAGATATATCATTTTGGACTGGTCATAAAGATAATAACAGGTAAAGTATGCATATTTATGATTCATATTACACACAGTTGACCCTAAATAATTATAATTTCTCATTTTTGTGATTGTATGATAGATATGATTATATATCAGTTATCACAATCAAGTAAAGGAAAGCTTTTAATATCTTAATTCAGTAATTTTATTTTTGTGTGTTTGATTTAAAACTATCTAAAATTAAATAAATGAAATGATAGAAATTTATATTTATTAGTACTGTAATCCAAAAGAAACTTGTCAGTTATGGAGATTGTTTTCATTACTTGTGCATGAGCAAACTTTGTTGTGTTTGTTTATTTTGCTGTTACAATTCTGTATTTGTATTATTATACATGCTGAATTTAACATGTTTACTAATATGTATGAGTTAACTTATAGTTGGTAATCTGTTACTTGTGTGAGAGTAGCCAGGGTTACAGAGTAGATTGTACTCTTGCAACACTTAATCGGCACTATTCCGTGAGAATAGTTCTCCGGGTTTCGGATCGAGAGATCCGATCTTATGTCAAGATTCGTTTGACCGGGAGGGCTTTTAATAATGATCCAAATCGCGAGATTCGGATTAACATCAGGATTCCTTGACACCAGTTTGTCAATTTATCGATCCGCAGACAAACACGCGTATGAGATCTGATTTGGTCACACAATTAAGAGACATTTTAATTAAAAACTAAATAATAAATTTAATAAAACAAGAATGTAAACTCATACAAAATGTGGATAAACGAGAGACAGAACTACTACAAATAATATACAAATTGGGAGATCGCTAAGCTTATATTATACCCTATTCGCGATCGAGAGAGAGCTCACAAAAATCGTTATAAAACATACGACCTGTTCCAGATGTCGTTCGTCTTCTTCTCTGTATGCAAGTTCATTTACTTCTTCGTATGGGAGATCACTATGTGCACAAATATAAAGGTATCCCTTCTATGTGTAGACTCTAGACTATTTTGTATGTGACTCGCCTAAGGACGTTGGTCATCAGGAGGGAAACGTATGTGGAGTTTGGACGCTTTCGGATCTGTTGCTGAACTCCTTGAATTCTGCTAAGTTCCCTGTATATCTTCGGAATATCGACCAATCATCGGCCCGTAACTCTTTCGTGAGAACGGATGAAAGGGGAATGAATGAGGGGTAACCATTTCCCATCGGAGCAGGATTTTAACCCGATAAGGGAAAGTCAGAGGATGTACTAACTCCAGTGAAAGGAAGTGACATCTGTTATCTGCCTATTCCCACGTTAAAACAATATTTTTCTCACCAAAAATGAAATAATATTTGGTGACATTATTTTAAGATTAATAATAAAATATTAATTTAGACCCAGGGGCCTTTCGGGTCTCACACAGTATTTTAGTTCAAACTNACACAATTAAGAGACATTTTAATTAAAAACTAAATAATAAATTTAATAAAACAAGAAAATAAACTCATACAAAAATGTGGACGATCGAGAGACAGAACTACGACAAATAATATACAAATCGAGCGAGAGCTAAGCTTATATTATACCCTATTCGCGATTGAGAGAGAGAGCTCACAAAAACATTATAAAACATACGACCTGTTTAGTTGTCGTTTGTCGTCTTCTCTGTATGCAAGTTCATTTACTTTTTCGTATGGGAGATCACTATGTGCACAAAATCAAAGTATAATTTCTATGTGCAGACTCTAGACTTATTCTGTATGTGACTCGTCTAAGGATGTCGGTCATCAGGAGGGAAACGTATGTGGAGTTTGGACGCTTTCAGAACTGTCGTTCAACTCCCCGAATTCTGACAAGTTCCCTGTATATCTTCTGAATTTCGACCAATCATTGGCCAGTAACTCTTTCATGAGAACGGACGAAAGGGGAATGAATGAGGGGTAACCATTTCCCATCTGAGCAGGATTTTAACCAGATAAGGGAAAGTCAGAGGATGTACTAACTTCAGTGAAAGGAAGTAACATCTGTTATCTGGGTTTTTCCCACGTTAAAACAGTATTTTTCTCACCAAAAATAAAGTAATATTTGGTGACAATATTTAACATGATTAATAAAAATTATTAAATTGGACCCAGGGCCTTTCGGGTCTCACACTTGTTACCATGTACAGTAAAAGTTCTCATAAACTGCATTGCTTTTATCATCAGAAATGAGCTTGTCTATATCAAATAAATAAATATTTCTATGTGGCTTATAAAATTGAGTTCTTTTTCAAAATTTGATCAGTTGATTTTGATAAGTCTTTGCCAGTTTATATTAACTGCAATAAGGAATCCAAAAATGTAGTAACAGTACAGAAATAGTTCTCTGAGCAATAATAAATTTTTGTTTGCTTATGAGGGGAAATTGAAAATTCTTTACTAACTGTGGTTTTATGGAAAAATAATCAAATTCTGAAATTTTAATTTATACATACAAGAGTTTCTTATGCATTGTATCAGTAAGTAGTCTCTAATGCTGCCTGGTAAGAAGTGGTGAAAATATGAGTATTAAAAATGGCAAATGTCATTAATATGTTCTAATAGTAATTTGAAAAGAATCAGAATCCAGGTATATTACAGATAGTTTTTATATATAAATAAATATATAGAATTTGAATATCTATAAAATGCACAATTCTCAATTTCTGAATAGATAGTTATACTTTCAAAAGAAAGCTTGTAGGTCTACAAATAAATATTAAATTTTCAAATTTTTCTTAATAATTTGAGTTTGAATAAACAATAATAATGTTATTTTAGGAGGGCATATTATTTATTTATGAAAATAGAAATAATAGTAACAAAAATTCAGAATTATTCATTTGGCTTTAGATGAAATATTTAGAGAATATGATTTTATAACTTTAATTAAATTTACAGGATAGGAAATCAGTAAAATAAATAATTAAAATTTAAAATATATAACAATGTGATGCAACCATATGTTCTTAAGAATATTTTTTGTGAAATGTAGTTTTTAAAATAATTTGCAAATTGCAATTAAATTTTAAAAATTGTTTTTCTGGAAAGTCAAATATTTTAAATATCAAATAGTTGTACATAAACCAGTATTTGGATTTTAAAAAACTTTTATAAGATTTTGTATTAAGATGTTTGTAATATATTGAATCCAAACCATATTTTTAATTCCTAAAAATGTGATGAAAACTATAGTGAAGATTAATGGCATAAGCCATTATTCACAAAGAAAAAAAAAATCAATATTTTTAATTCCTAAAAATGTGATGAAAACTATAGTGAAGATTAATGGCATAAGCCATTATTCACAAAGAAAAAAAAAATCAATATTTTTAATTCCTAAAAATGTGATGAAAACTATAGTGAAGATTAATGGCATAAGCCATTATTCACAAAAAAAAAAAAAATCAATTATAGGCAGAAGATTTCTCAATTTTTTTATTTTTTTGCTCAGAATATAACTAGATCAGAAATTGATTTCTTACTACTAAACCTTATTACACTCAAAATTAAATTCCACTGTTTATTCATTATTATCTAAGAAAAATGAGGAATATTCTGATATATCTTACAAGAAAATAAATGTCTGCAGTAGATTTGAATACTTAATTTTCAGTTATCACAAATTTGACTTCATATGATAGTCATATTATGCACTATTAACAGTGTTGTGTTGTATATTGACAAAGCATTGAAAGGTTTTTTTTCTGTACTACCTCTTCTACATTGTTAATATATCATATCATGTAACACCATGAGTATAGCTTTGTTTATATGTGGCAGTGATTATGCATATTTGTTTTATATGATTGTGTTTTACTTTTTCAATTGCTTTTTTCTCTTTATTACTGACAGACATGCCATTAACTTTCAGTTTAATAGTCATTAGCAAGGTTGAAGCTGAAGTTTTAAATGCAAAAATTTAATTAAAATATTTAGTTCAAATTCATTTTTTCTATAACAATGGCAGTGTCAAGAAATTAATGCTGTAAGGCACTAGCTAATAGCAAAATGAATTTAGATTTACTTATTTAAATTTGTGTAATTTTATAAATATTTCACTTTGACTTAATTAAATTAGCAAAATTTACATACAGCTCAGAAGTACTTTCATTTTGTTGGTCAAAAATGAGTTTGTTTCCATTTCTTACATAAGATTTTTAACAAATATATCTAGTTTGGCAAGCAAGATGTAAATTTTATATTGGTAAAATAAGGATTTTAGATACTAATTCAGTTTTTTTAACAAAATATTTGAAAAATTTACAAATTTAGTTTAATAATTAAATTTAAAATTTTTAATATATGTAAGTAACAAATTTTATTTATTTTGTAGATTAATAGGTTTTATTACTAGATCTAAGTCAGATTGTGAAAGTCCTCCAACATTTCATTGTTATATTTTTGAAGCTCATTTGAATGCACAAGAGGTATGTATCAAAGTGTTAAGTATAAAAATAACTTTTTTCTGTATAAATTATTAAACTATTGATTATAATTGGATTTGTATGAGTTGATTTCAATACTTTGAGAGTTACTTGTAATATTCTGTGATGTATCAATTCTCATCCGTGTAATTGCAGAACTGAATTGGCTGTGGATGTGTACGTTGTTTACGTGTAATCCCTTGTAGCCATCAGAATTTCTTGTTTAATTTAAAAGTTATCTTTTCAGCAAAAAGAGATGCAATACTCTGCAATTTTCCCAGTTGCAATTTCTGCTTTTATACAACTCCATTCTTCTCTGTGGTGGCTATCCTCTCTCAAAACATCGAGGAAGCAATATATAGTCTGTTTAGAAAGTCCTCTATTTGCAAAATGGTTTACGATAAACATTTCTCTTGATGTTTTATTTAATGTGTAAAAGTTGTACTCTCTTAAATATAAAGAATCTTATTTAGTTGACATTTTGAAAGAACTAGAAAATCGAATGCAGAAAAAGATTACAGAATATTCTAAAGCATTCCATGTTCTTTCAAATTACAGCATTTATTATTATTATTTATATATAAAATTATTATTAAAATATATATTAAAGCTATGCTTTAATATAATAATATATAAAATTAGTTAGAGGAAAAATTTAAAAATATTAGTGATTATATCGGTGGTGTAGTGAACATAACTGGTGCCCGGGGGCGACACTTTATTGGCACCTCCTCCAGAAACACACAGTTTGTCTTGGAGACCATTTGGGCACCCCTCTCCAAGTGGCGCCTGGTGCATGATATACCCGCTTGCCCCCTCACTAAGCCACTGGATTATATTAAGGATTTACGGAGTGAGCTGTTTTTTATTGAATTAAAGTGCTTTGGATATGTTTGCTTCTACAAAATGTCTGGTTTTTCATCTTGGTTTCATTAAAGATTTTGATGTATATTTATTATTACGCGCTTTATTGGTAATTGNTAGGCGTAGAATGAATATTTCCGCCCATTCTAACTGCCCATTATGTAACCGACTCTGTGAAAGTATTAAAAACCACTTATTTGTATCTTGTGAAATTACTGAACATTTAAGGGATAATTTATTGACAACTGATTTTGATATGTATTGTTTACACAAAGATAGTTTAAGCTCTGACATGCTATTTAAAGTTTATAAATTTTTCTGTTATTTATTTAACATGTTAACATAACATTATTAATTAAGCTTTAATATCTTTGAAACCATGTATAATAATGTTTGTATTTGTCAATGTTACAAGATCTTGTAACCCTTTGTAAAGGCGAAAGCCATAACAAATAAATGTTGATTGATTGATTGATTGATATTAAGGATTTACAAATGTATTTAGTCGATTTGTCCTCTGAACGTCTCATATATTAGTAAATAGAGCTGTTTTTTCAGGAATTGGAAATTGATATGCAGATATTGCTAACAAATTCAAAAGTTATTAGGATTATGTGGAATTTTTTCATCAATAGTTCAGTATCATATGTTAGGGCTTTTTTTTTGGAAACACATTAAAATGTGAAATGTCACAGAAATCTAGAAATCTAGTTAGTTATTTTTCCACTGTGTCAACAGTGGAAAAATAACTAGATTGCTGAAAATTCATTTTATAATGAGAATATTTTTTTGGCCAGTTTGAATATGCTTTTTAGCTGTTACAGTATTTAACCCATTCTTATCCATGATGTATTCTATAATAAATTGAATTATTTGCTATTATATACTGAATACAATTTTATATTAAGTGTGCTGATCTCATAAATTGTGTATGTATAATAATGTATACAATATGCTCTTTTAATTATACTGAGTGTTTGGAAAATAACACACATAGGTGCTCCTGACAAATTAAGAATGCATTCCAACAAGCATGACATACAGTGTTCTGTTGATTGTTATGTTACTATGTGGAGTTATGTAGAAATTTAACATAAAATGTAAGATTAGCAACCTATATACCACATAAGTATAATATTGTACTTTGCAACCATTGCCATAACAACAGATGCTTGCAATATAAAGTAAATATTAATTTTCAATAATTAGTAATAGACATCAGGATTTACATTGGCAATTCATGAAATCATTTTGCAACCATATAGTCTGTAAAGCTATCACAGATATGGGAGGTACTGTACATGAGACCACTCATCATGTTAATATTGTCAGATACATCCTAAGAGCACATGATACTATCATCAATGCTGTCCAGCAAAGCACTGATGACATCAGTGCTTTGGTGGACAGCATTGATTTTACTGGACAACATTCTGACTTTATCAGGCATTCCTATGGTGTTATTTTCTGAACATCCGGTATAAAAATTTTTAAATTTTATTAAACTTTAGATGATTTTTTTACTTTTTAAAGATATGCAATGCACTATCAACAGCAGCCAATATTGCACTAAAAAAATTATTAGTAAGTATATTGTTATTTTATACATTTTTATTTTATTATTGATATAGGCATTTCTTAAAAAAGAATTTTAGTTAAGTTTTATTTGTAAAGATAATGTTAGATATCAAATAACATTTTTGCTCATAGATTAAAAGCAATTATTGTCAAGAAACATCATATTTAGAAATTTGTTAATTTTGTTTATTTTTTTTCCTAATTTAGGAAAATAAAAATAAAGAAAATATTCCAGTAAGTTGCTATTTCTTTTATGTGCTTAGTTATTTTTGATTAAATTGTTGATTATTTGTATATACTGTAAGGTCTCGTTTTATGCGGTGGATACGTTCTACAGAAAAGCGCATATAAAAAATTCACATAAAAAAAGACTTTACTTGCCTTGAAAAAGTAGGGATACGTTCCGTAATTTTCTAAAATTGCATAAAACCAAAACAACGAGTTAAAATTAACTTAAAACCGCATAAAAAAGTTTGCAGAAATTAAAAGAAATAGGCTGCTTAATAAATTACTTCGAATGTCTGAAAGAAATTTATATAAAAGCTTAAAATAAACTTGTATTCATACTTAATTCAGTTTATTTTATTGAAAAGTAATACAAGTGGAATCCCTGAATTGCAAAAGCTCACTCTAAAAACAAATCACTGACATCTGGATGTGAAGAGTTAAGTAAAACCCTTTTAGTTCCTCTCCCGAGTTAACTCGGGCAGGATACATAGCGTTACATAAAACACGGTCCTTAAGGTCGATGGTCCTTTGAAATTTTTGTTTTTTGAATTTTTGGAATGTTTTTTAAGTCTCCAAATTTTTAAAAAATATTTTAAAATATACGGCCAGCTAGTGTTCACCCTACTTTAAACCCTTGTCCTCCCGCGACGTCTATGAGAATGCCCCGGGAAATCCAACTCCAGCTGTGTTCAAGGTCATCCAGATGTGTAAACAATGACTCATCGGTGTTAAATTTCACAGAAGGGCGAGACAAAGGAAGTTAAACTTTGAAGCTTTTTCTTCAAAATTAACGCATTTCTTTCGTTTCTTTTCAGTTTTAAGTATTTTTTATGTTTAATTACATTTACATCAAAAATTGCTAGGAACTAAAGCGATTAAGGTAGATCTAGCTGTCCTTTACATCCATAAACGTTATATGTCAGTGGAACAAATGGAGTGAGCTTTGAGCGTTCCACGATTTTTGGAGACTGTCTATATGCGGGTTTCCTAAACAAGCCTATATGTATGTTTGTCCAAGAAATTTTTGGATGAAATACAAACCTCACAACTTCAAAATCGCATAAAAATAATTCGCATAAAAAGAGACCTTACAGTAGTTAAATCTCAGTACAGTGATTATCGATATAATGATAAATCCCTCTATATTAAAAAATAGTAAAGCCTTTCTGTGAACCACAATGTGAAGCTACTTATTTGTTGTGGAGGAGAATGTCTTCGATGAGCATCATGCCTTTTGTTTTTGATTGACCTTTGAAGCTTCTTCAGTGTTATACGATAAATGTCTGACATTATTTTTATGTCTAGTGCCATGAATTCTCAACACAATTCTGTTGTGATGCTAGAAGATTGTAGCCATCATTTTTCAGTTCAAAAGTGTTGATTTGCATTGTTTGGAGAATAAGTATGCAGCCACTGTTTTGACAGTTCCTTAGTTCTGTATTCAGGAATTGAACCCATAACCCATCCTCAGTTAAAATCCTGTCAAAGAATTCATCTTCCTCTTCCTTGTAGTACAGGAGAAATATCAAACCCATTTTTTGATATGAACCCATTTTGATGGAGAAATATGAACCCATTTTTTGCATTTTGTGAACATTAGTCAGTTTTGTTTTCCACTAGACAGAGGATTTATGGTAACCAATCTATCTGTGAAAATATTCATTGAAACAAAATAGTCCTCAAAATTTGAAGAAATTTATCAGAAAGTTCTGAAATTATGAAACTATGTTTATCACACACAGTTTAGTTGACTTTTTTTAATGAGCTCATCAGTCATAATTGAGTGTCATCCTTGTTCACACTCATTGCACATGTTTGTGCTCCCATCTTTGAATTTCTTATACCAGTCCCTCATAGAACTGTCATTCACAACGTTTTTCATTGTAGATATGACACATCAACAACATATCTTGGCAGCATTGTGCTTATCTGATTACAGAAATTGTATCACATTGCATAACTCACATCTGGCAGGAGTGACATTGTTAGGATTTGTGTTTATTTGGTAGCTACTCATGCACAAATAAAACAAACTGGATGATTTATGTTCAGCAATATTAACATTTACTAATTTATGTGCAATGCAACGTATTGTTTTAGCAACTGGTTTACTTTTACTAGTCAATTAAAGGTTGATTTTGGAATAGCCATTGTATATAAAAATCTTTGCATATGAGCCAACTTCTTTTATGGTTAGTTTTGTAGATTTATCATTTTCCAAATATTACATAAACTTTACTGAAAATTGCTAAACAGATTTTTAAAAACTTTAGAATAATTATTATAAAATTATTATTATATAAAAATAAATCTTTGTAGAATTTTGGATTGAAAAACATAATTTTTTAGAAACTTAGTGCTCAGAAAATTTTTAAATGTGCTTTATATGATGATATAAATAATATTATCATACAAAACACATTGAAAAATTTTCTGTTATTTATGTTGTATATACATAAAAGATGGTCTTTCAGTTTTATCAGATATATTATTGAAATTGCTAGACTTCTTTTATTGGTGATATTTTTCATGTTCTTGATCTTAAGTTTGAAATGGTCAGTATGAGATCAATTTAACTCGTATTGAATGAATTTGCATATATAATGTATAAGTTTTTTGAAAGTTAAAAAAAGATCTTTATTAAATATTTTTGTCATTATTGTAAAATCACTTACCTGTTGTGGCATTACCACAGTGAATTATAAAAATATAAATATAAAATGTTCACGAGCACTTTCAGTAACGTACAGTTACCATCTTCAGGTGAAATGAATACTACAGTTTTCTGTATTAGAGTTATAGTAATAGTTTTGTTTGGAACCAAACAAAACTATTGAAAGGATGCAATAATCATAAAGAACTCTTTATTTGGGAAAACCTATATATTTCAATGCTTTCACCATGTAATACCACAACTCTGGAAATCTCTAAAACATGGACTACTTTATTTAAACATTACAAATTAGATTGCAATACATGGTCACATTGCAACCATAGTTTGCGAATTTCTATAATTTTCTATTCCATTCCGAAACATTTTCAAACTGCAAGAAAATTTTGATTTATATTGGAGTTCCATTTAGCCACACTGCTTTTTCAAGAAGTGCTATAACTTTAATACAGAAAACTGTAGTATTCATTTCACCTGAAGATGGTAACTGTATGTTACTGAAAGTGCTCGTGAACATTTTATATTTATATTTTAATAACTCACCATGGTAATGCAACAAACGTGTAAGTGATTTTACAATAATTATAAAGTCGGCGTGAGGTGATAAAAAAGTTTTATAACAATGACAAAAATAAAATTAGTTGTCTTTTATTTTTAAGAATATCTTATATAATAATCCTTATATATTAATTAATTTTGAATGTAAAAATTTCCAATTTTTACATTCAAAATTGTGCAAATTGTTATTTTTTATAATTTATTATTTTATACATTAATTTGTATCTTTTGTTATTTTAATTTTTAAATTTAATTATCTTATTAATTCTTATTAATTAGGAAGCTTCCATGGAAAATCTTAGTATTGCAGATAATCCATCTGAAGAGCAGCCTACAAAAACATTGGAACATAAACAGGAAAGTCAGTCAAATGTTATTGCTACTGAAGATTCTCCATCAGCAGGAAATGAAAACAAGGTTGTAGAAGCATGATAAATAATTTTTTCAAGGGAATTTTAATCAAGTTTATTATTAAAGTGATATATTTCACTTGTGTACAGAATGAAGCAATATTAAAAAGATAAAATTTAAACTTTTATAAAGTGATCTATTAAGAATTACATAATTTATTGGAAATATTTATTCAGATCTGATGCTAAAATTTATAGGGAAATTAATCTAAAATTAATTTTTTTAAAATTATATAAACACATTTAAGAAATGTCAATCAATACAAATATTTTGAGTTTAGCAAAATGGTGAGTTTGACATGCTGATAATTTCATCTAAGTTTTTTGATTTTAAGTTAAAATATCAATAATTTTTATTAAAAAAGTTTAAGATTTTTTATTTAAAAATTTTTTAATAATTATTATTGGGTGAATTTATTGTCCAATTATAATTAAGTATAAACTAATATTTACCCAATTACTTTAATAGACTTAACTCATTAGCCATTCATTCAAAATATGTGAATATTAAACATTTAAGTTGTCTGTATAATTATTAGGGAAAGAAACTTAATTATTTGCTTAAACACAATTTATACATTTAAGTTTTAATGTAGAGAAATATAAATTTTAAATTTGGTATTCTAATTATGGTATATAATTTGATTATTCAGATAATTCAAATGATTTGTTGAACTTGGATTTATTGATGATATAAATTTTGAAAACAAATTTTTATAATAATTTAGACAAACATTATTTTTAAGAGTGTTTTATCTTTCTGATAAATAAAACAAAATTATAAATTTATGAAATAAATTTACTATACTTGATGTAAAATACTATACTTGTTAATGGTTTTCAAGCTTTAATATTTATAATGGGAAAAATAACTTAATGTATTGTTGAGCATGTTCAAATTATCTTTGGTTTGTTTCCAAAATTATTTCAATACAATAAATTAGTTCCATAATGATAAAAGTTTGTGTGACAGACCTTTTACTGTAGATAACTGCTAAAGCCAAAACTGTTCATCCTACCTGTTGAAAACTTCCTTCAGAACTGCCATTCTAACATTTTATATTTTAATAAAACATAAGTTTATATATTTTATATAAACCATTAATTATATATTATGATATGTCAACTTGTGTTTTATTTTTATTACTTTTTTGTAGTAGTAACTCTTAATTAATGCGATAAATATTTAGTTAGCTAGACATTTCTAAATATTAAGGAATTTATGTCCCAAAATTATTTTTGAAATATGTCTTAATATCTAAATGTGTGTCAATTCATATGTTAACTATTATTAAAAAAATTGATAAACTTTTAAAATTTATAATTTTGTTATAGACCAATACAAAAAATAATTCATTGGGCAATTTTGTTACAATTTTTAAATAAATATTTTAGATGTGATATAAAATATCTTATACAATAAAGTAACAGACTTCAGACTTTATTTTCAAAGAATATGCTCAATGTTTTCTCTTCAACTTCAGACATCTTAAAGTATTAATAATTATTTGAATTTCCATCGGATGAATAAATTACTTTTTACAAATTAAAAGACAGAGTCGTTCTAAAAATATATATTTCAGACGATTACCATTTTTACAGAGTGTTCTAGAACAAAGTACAGACAGCTGGACCTTCCTTTTTAGGCTACACAACTGCCTATATTTAAAAAGTTCCTTAGAAACACAAAAAAACCAATAAATTATTAAGAAAAAATCTTCTTTAAAATTGAAATGGTAAATCTTACGACGTCTTGTTACGTCATCCTTGTCCATTTGGGTTTCTGGTTCTTTATCTACTGAGGATTAGCGCTGACAAATGTAGATTACGCTGATATCCCTCTGGTGACAAAGTGGACAAGGATGAAGTAACAAGACGTTGTAAGATTTACCATTCCAATTTTAAAGAAGATTTTTTCTTAATAATTTATTGGTTTTTTTGTGTTTTTAAGGAACTTTTTAAATATAGGCAGTTGTGTAGCCTAAAAAGGAAGGTCCAGCTGTCTGTACTTTGTTCTAGAACACTCTGTAAAAATGGTAATCGTCTGAAATATATATTTTTAGAACGACTTTGTCTTTTAATTTGTAAAAAAATATTAGTAATTAAATTAAATATGCTTCTAGCCCAAAGTTAACTATACATTAAGCAGTTAGCCCATTAGTTATGACTATAATTAACTCTTTAGACAAGATTAGCCAAAATTGGCTTAATCCATTCAAGAGACCAAAATCAGCCAAAGGAAAACTTGTTTGATTGGTTTTGCTATACAAATTTATTTTTTAGCCTGAGAGGAAAAAACAATTTTGCCTCCAGTTATATGGAAAGAAGAAATTTTCAGAATTAAAAGGTCTTATTACATCAAGATGAAAGAGAATACAATCACTAAAGAACTAAACTCAAAATATTCAGATATAGCTTTAATTAATATTGATGATTCTGAGTACCTGAAAGGCATTTCCAATATTAAAGCTATATTTGAATATCTTGAGTTTGGTTATTTAGTGATTGTATTCCTTCTCATCTTGATGTGATAAGTCCTTCTAATTATAGCCATAACTAATAGGCTAACTGCTTAATGTATAGATAAAGTATTGTTTCTTCATATTATTACTTTTTGTGATGTTGACTTCTCTTTGTGTACTTAAAATGATATTTTTAAGTAGTTAACTATTGTTTATGGTGATGCTGAACTTTCAAAAGAGAACAAATGTTTAAAGGATGCATGAAGCAGTACCTTCATATATGTTTTATTTTCAGATCCTTTGATTTCCAATTTTGATTACATGCAAGTCTTCTTTACTTCTATTTGATGTTAAAATCACATTTTTATTTATGATTTTATTTTATTATCTTAATCTTTTCAATTTAGTTTCATAATTAAAATTACAATTTGTTATAGATTTTATTCAATGCTTATTTAATTCATTACTGTCATTCATTTCATAAATTTGAATAAATTGAAATCTATATTAACTCTGTTTTCAATGAAGTTGAATTACAGTCGACTCCCCCCCTATAAGATATAGATACGTTCCAATTTATTAGGAATCCGATTTCTTACAAGTCATTCCAATCACAGCCCGACACGTGTCAAGTTTACGGACTATGGCTGATTGAAAGGTTTTCTTCCATAAAATTAATCGATTCTACACTAATCCGACTCAACATTTCCAAAATACGTATATTTTTTTGTAGTTTTATAGGAATCGTAATTATAGGGACCGTAATTATAGAGGGGTCAACTGTATAAAAATATTAATAGGAATATCTTAAATTGTTATAAATCATGTGATCATTATCAAATGATTGCATGATTTATTTATCTCTGCACAACAAAGCTCATTCTCTCAAAGTTAATTAGTAATTAGATACTTTCCTAAAATTTTTCATCAAAGTAGTGCCATTTGCTCAAGATGACAACACAAAAATATTTGTCAATGTTAGAAAACAAAATTGTTAGAAACAAAATTTTACATTTGTTATATGTTCATAACAGTGTTATCTTATACAAAAATTTTTAAAATTATATTTATAATAAGTGTTTTCATCACTGTTGTTTATCATCATGTTTTATTAATTTTACAGTATATAATGACAATTTGATTCATAACTAATTCATGAATGACATGAAATGCTGGTTGTTTAAGAAAACCAATTCTAAACTTATAAAAGCTAAAACATTTTTGTTCTAAAAAATATACTGAGCCAGCTTCAATATATCAAAAACAAATAGAATGCAGAACTAAAAGAATTGAGCAGACTTAAATTCTAGAACATTCAAAATTTTATACACAAAGCATTTTAACTTCTAAACATTTGGTAATCTTAATATATGATATGAAAATGAATGAACACACTTCCTAGCTACAGTAATTCACATTAATTGAAAATAAATATCATAGAATACATTATTCTTCTCTGTATTATATTTAATATATATTGGAAAAAGTAGCAGTAGATTAAAATGTAAACATATTGAGTCATTAATATACCAAAAAATTTCTAATTTAGAAATATTATAAGGTTTTTGAAGTTATATGAAGTATAAAGAAACTGTAAGAGTAAATAATTTCATCAATTGCATTTGTTTCTCACAAACTGTATATGCACTTTATTGGTGTATTGGTAACTTTTCCTGCATTGCAACATTGCACAAGAGATGCTGTTCTAGCAAATAATATATTCACTGTTTTATTATCATTCTTTACACAAGTATAAAATATTATTGTCTTTTATTATCAAAAAATTTCCAAATTATCATCATCATTTAGAAAAAAAATAATGATGATTGTAATAATCAGAAGCAGACAAATACACAGAAAAAAACAAACTACTCACCACATTTCAATAATAATCACATACATTGAACCAATTTACGGTGTAGTACGATAAACAACAAAAAATAATGAAAAACAAACGTTTTCGAACCCTTTCTGGGCTCTTCATCAGGTTCCTACAGTTTTAGCTCGTAAATTCGAATAACGAATGTCGTTCAAATAAGTTCGATCTTGAGTTTGAATCACATCTTTAAAGCCTCTATCGAAACTACCTGCATAAATTTTAAAGAGGAGATGCTTTTGTCGATGGCCTGGCAAGAGTTGATTCACAACACAATTTAGCCGCCCATTATATCCGAGTAGGCAGACTCGGCACGCATGCGCGTTGTATAACTTTAAAAAATGATTCAAACTCAAGATCAAACTTATTTGAACGACATTTGTTATTCGAATTTACAAGCTAAAACTGTAGGAACCTGATGAAGAGCCCAGAAGGGGTTCAAAAACGTTTGTTTTTTGTTATTTTTCGTACCACACCGTAAATTGGTTCAGTGTATGTGATTACACAGAAAAAGCTGAAATCTTTAGGCTAGTTATCCAATAACTTGAAATTCTATGGAAAACATTAAGCCCTTCCATTTTCAGTAAAACAGACTTATTTCACATGGGTTTGAGATAGACAATGGTCTTTTATTGTCTATTTTCTGATGTAATCAATGCTTTTGCAACACTACTTGCAGAAAAGAAAGCTTTCACTTTTCTACATTCCTTTGTCTTGGAACTCTTTTACCATTCTTTAGCTGTTATATTAACAGCCTTGGTACATTCTTATTGCACTTGGAGTAGCCATTTACTATGGCATTTTGTAACAGCAGCACAAGATGAAATGTACACATAAAATGAGAATAAAACTTGAGTTCTGTGATTTTAAAAACTTGGTCTTCTCTTGCTTTAGATCTTAGCAAAACCTGAAATTTTGTTCAACTGTGGAACAATCATAATAGAAAATTCCATGAATCCATAAGTATTAAGTAAAACATTATTTT